CCCTCCCGGCGCCGGCGCTGCAGGAAGGAGCTGCCGGCTCCCGCTGCGAGGGCCAGAGCGCGCTGCCCGGCACCATGCCCCGTATAGATGCGGACCTCAAGCTGGACTTCAAGGATGTCCTGCTCCGACCCAAACGAAGCAGCCTCAAGAGCCGAGCCGAGGTGGGGCCCTTCGAAAGCCGCGTTGGGGTGGGATTTTTTTTTTTCCTGGGTGGCACGGGGGAGATGGGTGCAAGGCGCTGGGATGTGCCGACCTTGCCAACTTTTCTGTGTGTCTGAAGGTAGATGGGGCGCTGACCCCCTTTGCCCTCCCCACCACCAGAGACAAGGGAAAGCCAGCTGGTTCCCTGCCAGCACAGGAGGTGTCTTTATGGGGGCCTGCTCCGGTTGGGTGGGCAAGGGGAAGCGTGCAATAGAACTAGATGCCAGAGGAGTGAAGATGAAGTGGCCAACTGATTTGGAAAGAATGGAGGGAGTTGTTTAGATGAGTGAGTGTAGAGGGGATAGGACACGGTAGAGTCAGAGTACGAAGGGAGAAGGAGAATTCGCGGAGTGCCTCTTAGTGCGGAGAACTGCTGCTGCGTTAGTATCGGGTCCTGCAATGGAAATTTTTTTTTAAAGCTCTGAAACACGGGGGAAACTCCAGGGCAAAAGTTCAGGGTTTACTTTCTGCATTTCAGTGGCTTTCCGGGAATGCGCCTGGGGACATATGCCTGGTGGCACCTACTTATTGGACAGCTGCAGTCCAGCCTAGTATTTGGGGAGCTGAAAGCACTGGGGTGCGGGTGTTGAGGGTGGGGGACAAAGGCACCGCTGAGATGGGCAGTTTTGCTGGTTCTGCCTTAATGAGGTCAAAGCCTGAGAAACAGGTGGAGACCAGAGTGGAAAGAGCCAGGGTGTGGGGGCAGGAGGAAGGTCAAACCATGAAGGGTAAACTAGTTGCACAGAAAGGCAGAGTCCCCTGGAGGCCTGTGTGCTGGGGACCGTGGTTTTGCCTGGTTGGCTGAGAGCTGGAGAGGAAGGTGAGGAAACTGCTGGGTCTGGAGGCAGGGGCTGCAGAAGTAAACAGGAGAAGGCTGAGCCAGCACCCCACTCCATCGGTCCTGCTCCTGGAGCCATAAATAAATCCCCTCCAGAGGAACTGGGCTGTCTGCCTGTGTCCGGGTCTAAGTCCTAACTGCAGTGCCTGGTGCTGCCAGCTGAGGGCTTGTTTCAATTAAGGAAGCCTCCTGCTTTAGCTGATGACCAGAAGCAACCAAATCACCTTCTTAAGCTGGAGGGTTGGCAGCTGGAGCCAGAACTAGACGAGGCAAAGAATGATTAACACTTACCACCCTGGATTGGTCAACTCTGTTCCTGTCCTTCAGCGTGTCCTTTCAGGTGCTACAGAGCAGGGCAGACACTCAGAAGAAAAATAAACAGCTTTGATTGCAGGCTTGGGTCTCCTGAACTCTAAGCGGTAGCTGGTACCTAAGTCCAGATCAAGATGAGATGTGGGGATTCTGGGCAGACTGATTTGGTGGCCTCAATAGTCTGAGTATTTGTTCACAATGCACTTAGTATAGAGAAACTTATTTTAAGAAAAACTGTATGTTTAAAAATGAAGGTATATGTATTGTCTGAAGCAGAAAACCTCTTGAGAAGGTAAAACAGTTAGGATTTATGTAACAGAATGAGTTACTCTTTCCCAGGGAATAAAATGACATCATGCATCATTCGGCTTCATAATTTGGGCTGATTGAAACTATTAATGTCCCAGCTTCCCAGGACACCTTGCAGTCTACATGTACACACAGCAGTTCGATCTCTGTGCCCTTGAAATGCTTTCATATTTCCACGTTTGTGGGAGTTTGCCAGCCCCCTGCCTGGAAACCTGAGTTGACTGGTGTTGCCTTTCTAGTTAGTTCCTGTCCTGGTTTAGCTCCCTGGCTTGTGACCCCCCCCCCATCATCTGACTGCCTGCTTCAGAGATGCTGTGGGATCTCAGTAGACCTCTAGTCCCCCCTCAGCGTTTTCTCAGTTTGCTTGTGGACACCTGAAATTTCTCGTAGGGAGATAAAAACTTGGCCTTGTGCAACCGGAGAGAATCCTAAAATGTATGCCCCTAGGTGGACTGATACCTAAATGCAAATTGGAAACTAAATGGTTAGTGACCAGACTTTGAGCCTAACCAGAGAGCAGATCTGAGTGGAGCCAGGAGAGAAAACATTGGAGCCTGGAGAGAAAACATAACCTGTGACATCAGTCTGGCTGGGACGGGAGAGTTTTGACCGTTGACAAGATTTATCACTGCAGCAGTTTTGCCGAGAGCCAGGCCTGTGCCGGATCATCAGGCAGTCAGCAGGAAATGGGGAGAAAGGCAGAGCGACCTCCCACTCAGAAGTGTAGTTCTCCTGCAAGGGCAGTTCCACAGGTGTCACATAAAATGAATTTGAGGTCAACTCCCAGAGGCAGAGGGACAGGTGGAGATAGCCAGGTGGCCTTACTGTGGTTGCACTGGATTGACAGTCCACCTTAGCTGTCCATCCACTACATGTATTAATGTCCTCACCCAACCCTGGGACACAAGGATGAAGGGCCACAGGGCTGCGTGGCAGCATTTGGGTCGTCTTTTCAAAGGAGATGACGTGTCGATTGGCAAGACCTTTGTCCTTGCTTGACACACTGAAGAGGTGATGTCATTCCTTGACCCCCTGAGCATTTTCTTCCACAGGACCCGTTCCTGGCTCTCATGTCCCACCCTAGTCTTTAAGCTAGTAAGATTTCGAAAAGAACCCACAGGCCTAGCAACACAGCCGTAACTTGGGAAGTCAGACAGTGAAGGAACTTGCAGCAGAAAATTGGCCACTTACTTGAAGGGACAGAGAAGACATGACCCCAATGAGTGATCAGTCTCCTTAAGACTCCATGGTCATTTTTTCACCAGTGGTCCAGTGAGAAGTGGACTAGCGCCAGTGAGTTCTGGTCCAGCTTCAGTGGACAGCAGGCTGGCCCGAGGGGGATGAGACCATGGCAGAGAAGAGAGACTCTTGGGCTGGGAGAAAGGAGACCTGGGTTCTGGTCCAAGCTCTGCACTAATTGTTTTTAAATTCTTTTTGGGGGGGTATAATTAAGTTTGTTTATTTGTTTACCTTTTTAATAATAAGAGCAGCATTTATTGACTTTACCATATGCCAGGCACTAAGTCCTTTGTGTATATTATCTCATACATCTTTTTTTAAACTTCAGTTTTATTAAGGAGTAACTGATACATAAAATTGTAAGCTGTTTAAAATGTATGTCATGAAGATTTGCTACACTTGTACATCGTGAAAGGATTCTCCCCATCTAGGTAATTAACACATTCATCTCATGTATTTATTTATTAATTTTTTTGATGAAAACATGTAAGTTCTACTTTCTCAGTGAATTTCAATTATATAGTACGGTGTTACCAACTGTAGTCAGCATGTCTTAGGTTCTCAGACCTTATTCATCCTACAGCAGAAAGTTTATGTGCTTTTACCAACCTCTCCCTATATCCCCTACTCCACCTCCTAGCAACCACTTTCTACTCTGTTTCTAAGAGTTCAACTTTCTTTGCTTTTTTTTTTTCCCTAGATTCCACATGTAAGTGGCACTGTGCAGTGTTTGCTTTCTCTGGTTTATTTCACTTAGCATAATACCCTCAAGTCCATCCATGCTGTCTCAAATGGCAGAATTTCCTTCCTTCTCATGGCTGAATAGTGTTTAATTATACATATATATGTACGTACTATACACACACACCCCCCACATCTTCTTTATCTACTCATCTACTGATGGACATTTGGGCTGTTTCCATGTCTTGACTACTGTGAATAGTGCTGCAATGAACGTGGCAGTGCAGGTATCTCTTCCGTTTCTTATTTGTATTGCCTTTGTCTGTATACCCAGAAATGGGATTGCTGGATATGGTAATTATATTTTTAAGTTTTTGAGGAACCTCCATACTGTTTTCCATAGTAGCTGCCTCAGGTTACATTCCCACCAATAGTACACGAGCGTTCCCTTTCTCCAGATCCTCTCCAGCATTTATTTGTGTTCTTTTTTGATGATTGCCATTCTGATGGGTGTGAGGTGATACCTTATTGTGGGCTGTTTGCATTTTCCTGATGATTAGTGATGTTAAGTGTTTTCTCATGTCTGTTGGCCATCTCTGTCTTCTTCAGGAAAGTGTCTATTCAGTTCCTCTGCCCATTTTTATTCATTTTTCAGTTTTATTAGGTAGAATTGTTATAATTTGACTGCACATACACAATATATTGCATGTAAATACATATATACAATATACTGCACATTCTTTTTAGTTTACATATATGTACTGACCTTTGTTTCTAAGAACAGTTTAGAGCTTTAGCTTTTTAAACTTATGTAGTTATCAAAGGAATAAAGCCAACCACAAAATAAGAATCAACAGAATGTGGTAATCCAATCATAAAGGACAGTCAGATATGCTTACACATATTTAAGAGATCAGTCATCTAAGTTGTAAATACGTAGTTCACTTGTGTCTCTTTCTTTTTTGATTCCACATATAAGTGATATGTGGCATTTTTCTTTCTCTTTCTGACTTACTTCACTTAGAATGACAATCTCTGGGTCCATCCATGTTGCTGCAAATGGCATTATTTTATTCTTTTTGATGGCTGAGTAGTATTCTGTGTGTGTGTGTGTGTGTGTGTGTGTGTGTGTGTGTGTGTGTATATCTATATATGTATATATAGATACACACATCTTTATCCAGTCATCTGTTGATGGACATTTGGGTTGTTTCCATGTCTTGGCTATTGTAAATAGTGCTGCAATGAACATTGGGTGTCTTTTGGAATTTTATTTTTCTCTGGATATATGCCCAGGAGTAGGATTGCTGGATCATATGGTAAGTCTATTTTTAGTTTTTTAGGACTCTCATACTATTTTCCATAATGGCTGCACCAAACTACATTCCCATCAACATTGTGGGGAGTTCCCTTTTCTCCACACCCTCTCCAGCATTTATCATTTGTGGACTTTTGAATGATGGCCATTCTGACTGGTGTGAAGTGATACCTCTTTGTAGTTTTATTTTTTAATGGAGGTACTGGTGATTGAACCCAGGACCTCGTGTGTGCTAAGCATGCACTCTACCACTGAGCTATACCCTCTCCCTGTGCTGATTGTTTTATTACCTGGGCTCTGTATGAGTGTCCTGGGGCTGCTGTCACAGAGCACTGCACAGGGTGGCTCACACAACAGAAATGTATTGTCTCCCAGCAAGTCCCAGATGAAGACATCAGCAGGGCTGATTCCTTCTGAGGGCTGGGTGGGAGGCTCTCCCATGTCTTCCTCCTTCCTTCTGGTTATTTACACACAACCTTGGTGTTCCTTGGCTCGTAGGTGCATCACTGGAATCTCTGCCCTCCTCTTCAGCCAGCATCCTTCTGTGTGTGTCTCTGTTCAAATGTCCCCTATTTATAAGAACAGCAGTCATGCCGGGAGGAGACCTCCCCTAATGACCTCATCTTACCTTGATTATCCACCAAGACCCTGTTTCCAAATGAGGTCACATTCACAGGTGCTGATGGTATCTCAGTGCCTTTTTGGGGACATAGTTCAAACCATACAACCTCTGTAAATTTTGCTCCCTAACATTCGAGGGTTTGGCTTGTCTTGTTCTTCACGAATGCATCAGAATAACCTAGGGAGACACTCCAGAATACACACGGTGTCTCTCACACAAAGGTTCTGATTTATTAAGTTTGGGGCGGCCTGAGCATGTGTAACTTGGGGATCATCCTGCTGTGATTCTGATGCACACGCAGATGCTGTGGACTGGCTGCCGGGGCCTCTGTGTTTGTGGACCCTGTGGCTCTCTGGTGACGGGCGGCGGCTCGCACTTCTCTGAATCCTGACAACTGACAGCGAAGCTTCCAGGGTACCGAGCGTGTTCAGAGGACCACCCTGGGGTCCGCCGAGCGTTGCCCTGAAAGGCTAGGGGCCAAAACACAAGCTCCTTCTTATCCCTTAGCTGGACATGAATGTATTCCGCACTTTTTGAGCCACTAGGACTAAAGAGATGAAAGGCATTGTCCCTACACTTGACCACAGCTTACAGGTGAGATGGGTAATGAATAATTGATTTAATAAGAGAATTGCTTTAATCAGTGCCATCCATAGCTTTAGGCAAGAGGCCCCTGCCCCGGACCCCACTTCTGCACCTGTCCCCTCCTCACTGGACCCGAGGGCGGGGCCTTTCCCTCTAGGCTGTGCTCTAGGTACTCAGGTCCTGGGCTTCCTGCCCAAATGCCTGGAGCTGACTCCAAGGCCTGCAGGGGCCCCTTCCCCAGGTGTGTTTCCCCAGGGCCAGCCGTGCTGCTCACGTCTGAGCTCAGAGTGGCCATGTGTGCCCGGAGCTTGGTGTGCAGACTGGGGTGTCTGTGTGCACAGGAGGATGTGGGTGGGAGGAGAAAGGGGTGAGGATGTGGGCGTGGGGACGGTGGCCGGCTCCCATGACTACGTGCTGTGCTTTCCAGGTCATTAACGAAGCTGTGTTGTCGAGGTTGGAGGACAGAACAGAATTTGCGTAGCAGCTTTGTACATGTTACTCATAACCTGGCGGGGTTTAGACACGTGGTCGGTGGGCCTCCACTTGTACTTCCGGGCCCCCGCATGTTGGGCTGGAGGACTGATGAAAGCGAAGATGTGTCTGAAGAGCAGCAGAAACATGTATTTCTGAGGTGGAGAAGGGTGACTCACTACTTTCTGTGCCCTTTGCGACCAGGCTTAGTGAGGTAGGCATTTGGAGGCGCTATATTTGGTGCATTGACCGGCTGTGGCAGAGTAAATGCCAGGTTCTGTTCCTGGGAGGCTGGAATATTTAAAGTATTTATCTCTCAGCGAACAGCTGGTCTATTTTGGGCACGTGTGTTTGTCTTTCTGACCGTGTGGATAAGGCTGGGGAAGATACTTTACTTCTCACTCCTAGAATTAAGGCTTGCGTAGCCCCCGCCATGTGGAGAAGACCAGAAATGTAGGGGGATAGTTCATTGTCAAGGCTGACCTTTTCCACGAGAAGCTCTGATTTTCAAGTACTGCTGATAGGTTTTGGAGTGCTGGGGAAAACCCGCTGTGAGCTCAGCCGGGTGCGGAGTGTAGCAGCTCTCTCCTGGGCTTCTTGGGAGGAGTGTAAGTAATTTGAGAGCGAGGATTTCTGATTGTTTTCTGTCTGTGGAGCCACAATGTTAGAGGGCCATTAGCAGCACAGAAGGTTGCAACGCTGCGGCTCCTTCAGTTGTCTTTCAGAATGTAGCTCGAACTTGCTTCGCTGAAGTAGAGCCGAGCATGACAACGAAGGAAGTTGGGAAAGGGATGAGTTGCCTCCCACGTGTGGTCCCACAGTGGCAGCATCTCATTTCCCCTCGCTGATGGCTGGGTCAGGCCAGTGCCGCCACATTATGGCCTCTGTCACCCAGGAAGCCTCTGGACATGGAACGCTGTGAAAAGGCTGAAAGATCTGAAACGTTCTCTGCTATTGTGACGTGTTGATGGCAAAGTGAAGGTGGTCTCCCGTGAAAAAGTATAGAAGGCGGCTCTAGGTAAACACTGGTAGGGAATGATTATTATTACTGCTGTTGCCAGTAAGCCAGGATGAATGCAGGTCCAAATTATTTCAGAAGCTTGATTCACACCAGTGCTTCTCCTGCCAGTTCTCCTTGGAAGAGCACCCATTTCCAGGGGAGTCTGTGTCCCTCAGGGTCCAACTGAGGAAACAAACAGTGCTGAATAGTTACAACGGGAAATTTAATCCAAGGCATTGTGATACAGCTGAGATGCCAGACGGGATACTGAGGGAAGACCCCAGAGACTGGCAGCAGAGAAACCACTTCCAAAGGGGAGGAGCCCAAGGGTTGGGACCATTCTGAGCCGGAACCAAGACCATGCAGGTCAAGGCAGAGGGGGTCTGGGAGCGCTACTCTGACCACATCCAGGCCCGTCTTCCCCACTGTCCTCCAGTGTCCCACCCAGGGACTTTGCTGGCCAAACCTAGCCAGAAACCAGCCTGGGAACTGGGGCCTGCAGGGGTGGCTTCCTTGTGATAAGAGCAGAGCAGGGGAAGGATGAGCACTGCATCTGTGAGCACAGGGGCCCAGGATCTGATTTTGATTCTGCCAGTTCTTGGTGACCATCTGGCCTTTAGCACTGCTGAGCCCACCATTCTGGCCTAGCTCGTGCTCTGGGTTCCTGATCGTGGAGTTAGTTACAAATGCCCTGAAGTTGGAGTTACCATAGTATTAGAGAGCCCTCCCTCCAGGTCTTTGCAGGTCAGAGGAACAAGTGGTTTTGTGCATAGACAGAGCTACAGTGTTCTCCCTCCCAGCTCTGAAGGATGCTGATCATTCTGAAGCAGCTGAGAAGGTTAAAAGGCAAGGGATTAACGGTTTGCTGCTCACCGCAGGGTGAATTTGGAGTGCCTGGTCCTCTGGGAAGGTGAGAATTAAAGGGAGGGCCTTGGTTGGCGGGGTCGAGTGGAGTGGATTTTCCCAGAAGAGGACCAGTCCCTCCGTGTTTGGTAGTGGGGGAAGGTGACTTGGATGTAGGTGTGTAGGGCTGGAATGAACCAGACTGGGGACAGAAGGTGGCACTGGGCTGGGAGAGGCTATTGAAGGAGAGAGTTTTCAACTCAGAGGCCGGACTGGATGGCAGAACATCCAGTGCCTTGTTCTTGCTTGAGGATGGTAAGGAGCCCAGTTCAGTTTTTGTACCTGGATCACAACCTGTGACTCCAGTTCCTCAGGGACTCACTGTCTTTGGAACACCTGTTCCAATCCCTAAGAGGATCCAGGGACCCGAGGGACACACACTTCCTTTGTGTCTTTCCATTCGCTCGAAACTGGAGAAATGCCGTACCAATCACGTCAAGAGCCAAGCCTTTTTTTCCCTTTTGCAATAGGTGGATCTTGAGCGAACCTTCACATTTCGAAACTCGAAGCAGACCTACTCGGGGATTCCCATCATCGTGGCCAACATGGACACCGTGGGGACGTTTGAGATGGCCGTGGTGATGTCACAGGTAGGATGGTGGGCTTTTTCTGTCTGCTGCTCATGCACCGGATGGGGTGTCAGGAGCCCACCTTGGACTTGTTCAGACGCAGGGAGGGAGAGAGAAGGGAGACCCTTTGGGTCATTTGCTGTGGCTGAACTGTGTAGGTCTGAATCTGAATGTTGCTGGAGACACTTCTTTTTCTCTCTTCACCCAGAAGATGGATGGAGCCTGGACGTCACATTCAGTGAGATGTTCTAGATTCTGCACCCATTTCTTCCTTGAAAACACCCACGAGAGTTTTGGAAATGATAGAGATACAAAAAGAAGTTGGATATTGTCCTGTATTATAAAGTTAGATGAGTGTCATATTAATAGGAGAGTGACAGCACCTGTAAAATTAAGACAGAACCGCTTCATCTGTCCTAGAGCATCTACATCATTATGTAGAAAACTTAGGTGCCAGACCCTGGATATGCTGTGTATGATGTGGTCACAACTCTAGCGGGCAGCTTCTTCATACAGATGAGGAAACTGAGGCAGAGAGCGAGCGAGGAGTCATTTGGCTCAAGGCACTTAGCCAGGTAGACACAGAGCCAACGTTCAAAGTCAGACTGACTCCAGAATAAGGGATTTCCCCCCCAATTTACACTGACAGATCATCATACAAGCTCCTGGTCCCGTGAGTCAGCTGCTGTCTCATTTCCTTCAAAGGGAGTGGCTAGTATTCTGGCCTTGGGAAGAATAAGGGGCAAGTTATTTGTGGGCAGAACCTTCATCTCGCACATCTGTGTCTGAGGTTGAGTGAGTCTTATTCATCATAGATGTAAAGTGTTTGCTTCTGATGTGGGGTGTCTGTGCATCTATTTCTGTGCATGGTGCCTGCCAAGTGAAAAGATAAATCCAATTAGCTGAAAGAGCGTCTTGCTGTGGGCAGCACGGCTAACCCCAGGAGGTGCTGGGATTCATTATTAGCCAGTGATTAGAAGGAAGATTTTCAAACAAATTATGAACTCACATAATGGAGTAGGGGGTGGTCTGTCTGAGTCCAGGATCAGTTGTACCATCTGTCCACGCTCAGCCCCCACCAAGCTTTGGGCTGGAGGCTAATACATTAATTGCTAAAGGAATTGGTATTTTTTCTCCCTGTCTTTTCCTCGCTCTGCCCTGTGATGATCAGCCATTGCTACTAATAAGTTATGTATTAGTGTGAAAATTCGTGGAGTCAGGAAGCAGTAAATAGCCCAGATTAATTCACATATCAGATTACCAGTCCATAAAAAACATGCTACTTGCTCTGCTCTCCTCTTGTGCACAGGGAATGAGACGATGTATACCAACGTAGCCAACTATGTGCAGGTACTATAGATTTTCTTTCTAGGATCCACTGAATTAATTCCTTGTGTTAATGTAAGTCATAGAGTTTTAGGATAGGAAACTGTAGATGGGGAAATAATAGACTGAGAGAAGTTAGGAGTGAGGCCCTGATCCTGGAGGAGGAGCTTGGGTTCTGCATTCAGATTTGTGTTTGATTCTGGCCTTTGCCCCATTTTGGCCAAGCAGTTGCTAAATTTCTTAAACTTAAGTTTCTTAAGCCCCATTTCTGCCCATAAAGCTAATATTGCTGTACAGAGTTGTTCTGGGAGGTATATGAAATAATGCGTGTGAAGTGCTTGGTTGCTGAATTGACAGTCAGAGATTCAGGACTATGAGTTATGTACTTCCCTCCATCAAGGATACCAACTGCCTGACGAGTTAACGCTTTTAGCAAGAAACATTCAGGTTACGAACACAAAGATAATGAACTCACGTACAAAAGAAAGACTCACAGACATAGTAAACAATCTTATGGTTACGGCGTGGGGGGAAGGGGGTGGGAAGGGATAAATTTGAGAGTTTGAGATTTGCAGATGTTAACCACTATATATAAAAATAGATTAAAAGCACATTTTTTTTTCTACATAGCATAGGGAACTCTTCAATATCTTGTAATAACATTTAATGAAGAAGAATGTGAAAAGGAATGTATGTGTGTATATGCACAACTGGGAGATCACGCTGTACACCAGATAGTGACACATTGTAACTAACTATACTTCAATTTTAAATAATTTTTTTCGGAAAAAAAACAAAACCCAAACTTTTGTGTGGAAGTTGAGGTTCCTGTGGGTTAACTAGGCAGAATTTTGCCTTCCGTCTGCCCTGCTAACGAACCAGCAGGGGACCAGCTCTCTGTGCTGCTCTGGGCCTCAGTCAGGTGTGGGCTGGGCCAGGACGCTGAGGACTCTCCCTTGCTCCTTGCAACCCACCTCGCCTGCTGGCATCGCCTCCCGAGTCCTGAGCACTGCCTTGCCTGATCAGATTAGAACGGAAAACACGCTTTGGTGGCGATTCCCCTGGTTACGCCTTGGTCTGTTTTGGGCTCCTGGGAGCCTGTTCAAAGCAAATTAAGCGTGAACGCGGGAAGGCAGGATGCTTTCGTATTGTCGGATCACCCCTGCCATATGGGGGAAGGGAGAGTGGGCCTCGCTTGACTTCTCGTCCTAATGGTGCTGCTTTGTTTCCTAGCACTCCATGTTCACCGCAGTTCATAAGCATTACACCCTGGATGACTGGAAGCTCTTTGCCGCTGATCACCCAGAATGCCTGCAGGTATGACCGCACCCTGGTTATAAGTGACATCTGTTGCAGAGGGAGGAACATTGTCAGGGTTGTCAAAGGGATTTGAATTGGCAGCAGATAGATGTAAGTCTCCAGAGAGACCCGGGAAAGGCAGTAGTGGTACCCAGCCCTTCATCACTGCCAGGAATTTGCCTGTATCCTATTTTGAAAATATTAGGATTTAGCTGTTTTTTTTCCCTTAAAAAAATTCAGTGCTGTATCAGGAGAGCTTGCGGAAGACCTGGCAGTGTTTCCTGCCAGGGAAAGGGTCCATTCTGAGCAAGCCTTTTGGCTGTAGGAAGAACACCTAATTAGAACAAGTTGTTGTGGGGTGAATAAACAATATGCCCACTAGGGTGGCTTCAATCAAAGAGACAGATAATAAAAAAAATGCTGGCATGGATGTGGAGAAATTGGAATCTTCCTACATTGCTGGTGGGAATGTAAAACGGTGCAGCCGATCTGGAAAACAGTCTGGCAATTCCTCTGAAGGTTAAACATCAGAGTTACTGTATTACCGAGGATTTCCATTCCTAGTCTGGACCCAACAGCTAAATATATGTTCATATAAAACCTTGTACACAAATGTTCATAGTAGCGTAATTCCTAACAGCCAAAAGGTAGAAACAACCCAAATATCCACCAGCCGATAAATGAATACACAAAACCTGATCTGACTGTACTGTGGAATAGTTAGCTGTGGAAGGGAATGAGGTGTTATTTATGCCACAACACGGGTGAACCTGGGGAACATTTTGTTGAGTGAAAACCCAGCTACGTATATGATTCCGGTTACATGAAATGTCAAGAAAAGGCAAACCCATAGAGACAGAAAGTAGGTTAGTTGTTGTCTGAGGCTGGGGGCTGGGAGGGGTGAGGGCTAAAGGGGGTGGCCTTCCTCTTTGGGGTGATGAAATGTTCTAATATGGTGATGATGGTTGCACAATTCTGAATATACTAAAAGCCATTGAACTGTACACTTTAAATGAGTGAATTGTCGGGTATGTGACTATATCTCAGTAAAGCTGTTACTTTAAAAAAAGGCCCTTTGAAAATAACAAAAGCCCCAGGAGAACACACCTTACTTGGATCCTGGCACATTCGGGAGGCACCACACCAGTGCCCTCTCTGTGTTAGAGATGCTCCCCATGGTCAGGCCGTTTGCGACTGGAAAACACTGGCTTTTTGTTATTTTGCTCTGCCTAAGGGGATGTTGATGGGTGAGAAGGTGGTTTCCGAGACAAAAATAGTGATTCCTTCCTTCCCGCCATGTTTTATTCTAATGAATGACACCTGTTTCACCTTCTCTTCTCGGGAAGGAATTTGGGGACCAGGAGTTTCTGGCAACGCGCTGTTAATCAGAACACCATGGCTTTCATCACCATGTGCTATCATTTCACTTCCTCCCCCGCCCCCACCAAATTAAAGCAAATGAAAAAGGGAAAGTGTTTAAAACTCAGTGGCACTGAGAGAAACTAAGTGATCTTGAGTTCCCCTTGCCAAAATTTAACAGAAATGAGGGGGGAAATAAAGAAGGTAGCAGAGCTCCAGGGAGGGAAAGAACAGGTGGATTCGGGCACCGGTCAGATTGTCGGCATGAGGAGTGAAAACCGGAGTGCATGTCATGTCACCAGGCCGTTTATGCTCAGTGTCTACAGTGTAGCTACATTGTTGTGATTTGGGGGGAATAAAGAAGGTTGTTGATACGGCCTTCATCTGTGGTTTATAGTTTAGAGATAGGAGTTAAAGTATAAATATTAAATAAATGTATAAGGTTTAAATTGATGAAATATAAATATCTCATAAAAAGTGAGATGGTGACTCTAGGCACGTTCCAGTGGCTTTGTTTTATTAAGGTGTAAATTGCTAAAGACCAGAGAGCAGATTTTGAGAGGAGCAGAGGGCTGGGGTGGAGGGTGGGGGGAGAGGCTGTCACGGAGGAGGGTGTGGTGGCTTCAGGCGTAAACATGTCCAAGTGAAGATGGGAAGGGTCATTACGGGCTCATTCGTTCTTGCACTTTGGGACCTTTTGCTCTTTTAATAGGGACACTGAGACTTGCAGCTACGTGTGCAGGTTATGATCTGCATGTTGTGATGGTGTTGTATTGGGAGTAAAGATGGAAGCAGGAAGGAATTTCATCAAAGGAGTTTTACACACCTTTTCCTCCCTCTCCCTGCCCCCGCCCCAGACACACACACACACACACACACACACACACACGCACACACACACAAGATGGCTCAGGGTGACGGCCACAGCTCTGGAATCAGGAAGCCTGAGCTGACCGGCCACCCTGGTTCTGCTTGACCCTCCTACACCAGCACCTCCACGATTCTGAGGTCCACGCGGAGAGCTTGAGGAAATTAAACAAAAGCCGAGGATAAGATTCTGTGGCTGAGGTCCAGGGCCAAGGATATGTGCAATTTAATGTGGGGAAAGGCGATGAAGTCAATTTGGATAACCAGTGCATGTCCCTCACCTCTGCTGCTCTGTGTTTACTGAGCCAGGCCACTGTGTATCTGTGTGATCAGGGGAAATGTCCGGGGGTCACTGCACTGTCCCCAGGAATGGCAGGTGGCTGGGGGCAGGGTCTGACTTCTGAGTGCTTCTTACTGTTCCCGTCTTGCACCTCTTGGTGTACCTGGTACAGCATGTAGCCGTGAGCTCGGGCAGTGGGAAGAATGATCTGGAGAAGATGAGCAGCATCCTGGAAGCCGTGCCGCAGGTTAAGTTTATCTGCCTGGATGTGGCCAATGGGTACTCGGAACATTTCGTGGAATTCGTGAAGCTCGTCCGTGCCAGATTTCCAGAACACACCATCATGGTAGGTGTGGTGGGACGACCTTCTCTGGATGGGGAAGAAAGGGGGAGTTGTGCAGTGGGTTGGGGGGAGCACTATTCTCTTCAGAGCTTTTGGTGCCTTCTTATGCGAAGACTAGTTGAAAATCAGCAGGAAAGGGACCAGCAGCAGCTAAGGAAGAGCTGAAAACTGGCTCTGCTCTGTAAAAGATAAAATCCAGATCAACGCCTTTTGTCTGCTAAATATCAGCTGTTTCTTACCCTGTGAGACCTTTATACCACGGTCTGTGTCTTGCTCCTTAAGAGAGTATGTTTTTAAAGATGAAAACAACATAACTGGGTCTGCTTATCCTAAGTCACCTCTGCCCCGCGCGCTTGGCCAGCAGAAAATGCTGCTGCGAGACGTGAAATCCACAACATGAACGTTGCGCAGTGGTCAGCTATTACGTGCACATCAGCAGGTGTGTTGTTTTATCTAGGATCTTTATTTTTGCCTTTTCCTGCCCCCCTTTTGGGTAATTTTCCTAATGTTTAACACCTTCCCTAGTTAATGTGTATCTGTTATTGCTGGGAAACATGGATTTACAGGAAAAGGAAATAGAAGCCTTAGGGTTAAATTTGGGCTTTTGGGAAATCTGCATTGTAATTGTGTGCATCTTCGCTGGTCTTAACATGGGAGTTATCGATTGACCACTAGATAATTTACCTAACTCTCCTTTAAAATCTTTTTCATTTAATTTCTCCTCCGGTTTCATCACTGTTAGGAAGTTGGGAGACAGGAATTAGTATTTCTATTGACGGAGTTAAGTCTTGTGTTGAGGATTTCCAAGGATTTTTAAGAGAAGTATTTTCATGCTTTCCAATCACGTGAGAAGGAGGGATCAAGAATTGTCCCAAGGTCAACCAGCTGTACCGTGTTGGACGTGGGGTGGGCAGCAGTGGAGCTCACTTCACCTACATAATAGGGCTGCCAGTGTCGCCATGTTTCTGATAACAGGGACACCGTTCATTGAGCACCTAGCGTGTTTCCGAAGGTGTATGTCTGCTCTTTCTCTTCTTTACAACATCTCTGTAAAGGGTAGGAACTGTTGTCCCGAGTTTAGCACAGAGGAGGAATCCTAAGCTTTGATTCTTACTAGACTTTGGGATTTTCACAAGGTCAAGCCACGCTGAGCAGCAATGCTGGGATTTGAGGTCAGGTCGGTCTGAATGCGAAGTCCAGGCTCTGCCCGCCGAGACCTGTTCACGTGCTCCGTCCTTGTTCACTTTAGGGCTAAAGCCCCGTTCTTCCGTTCTTCCCTTCTTCCACTGGGTGATATGTCTGTGACCTGCTCCCCAGTTCTGAGGTGGGGCGGTTGGCGCTCTTCAGGCTTGTGCTGGGGGTGATGGGGTTACCCTCTGTCATGGCCCAGTGATGCCTGCATATCTAGTCCTGAGGCCCCAGCTGGCTCTTCTGAGAGAACAGAAAGCTGGCCTCCCGGGAGGGCCGAAGTCCCAGCCCCGAGCTGGGACCTGGTAGCCCTAAACGGCGTTTGGTCCTAAACGTAAGTTCTGTGAAACTGGGATGGTAGAAAGAGCAGGACAAGTATTTGAGCAGGAGAGGTGTCCTCGCTGACTTTCCCTGGAGGAGGAGGTTAAGGCAGGGGTTACTGTTGACATTTCTTCTGATCTGAGGTGGTGGGATATAGATCTTTCCAGATCTTTCCAGTTCATTTCTACTGTTTTAATTGCCCTGGAGACACAAGGGAGTGATAAACCTGGGAAGCTACACTGTACATCTGTTGGCGTTTTAGGGTACAGGAGTGAGTCATGAAGGCTTAGGAATCAGAAATTATACTTATTTAATGAAGCGACCTAGTGGCTCCGCTTTTTTGTCTTTAATAATGCACGTATCCAATTGTAAAATGTGACGTACAGACCAGTGCAAGAAATGTGGGTGTCCGATAACTAGTCATAAAAGGAACAGCCCTTCAGCGCCCCTGCTCCCACCTTGGACGGCAGCCCCATCCTGACTGGTGGTCATTTCCTTGCGTTGTCCTTGGTTTTGCCACTGACTGATGCATTCCCACACAACCCCAATTCACTTCTATTTTTGAACCTTATATAAATGGCAATCCTACTGCATGTCTTTCGGGTCGTCTTTGGTTCCATCCCACATCGAGATGCACCTACATTGTTACATGGAAGCTGTGCAGTAGGTAACCCACTGTTCCTGGAACGAACCTCAGTACCATTTTCTAGATGCTTCCCTGGCCCCTGCCTCACTCTGTCTACATCACCGAGTGTCCCCATGAGGTGAACCACGTTGGGGATATCACCTACCTTCTGAATCTCATTCTCCTCCCCTGTGAAAAGGAGGTCGAGGATGAAAATGGTTGGAGAATTATCTTGGGGATCAGGCGGGCGATGTTCAGTGTTCAGAGGTGTGTGTCGTGGTGAGTACCAGTGAGGGTCTGGGCCCTGAGAACTGAGCTGGAGGCAGAAGGCTGATGGAGAAGAGGAATGGGGCAGGGTGGGAGGCATTCGTCTTTAAGAAGAACAAACATGTAGCACTTTCTTAAACCAGGATAGTGATAGCTGAGGTCCGCTGGAGCCCCCGAGCCTCCACTGCATCCTCCTCGTGGCTGGCCGGCTGGCCGGCTGGCTGTGGGTTTCAGGTCCCGGATGGCCCTGCCCAGGGCTGAGCATGCCGTGGGTTGTGGGGCCTGTGCTCCACCCCTGGGGGAAGACCAGGGGGCAGGGGGCGGTGCGGGAGGGAGGTAGGCTGGCAGGACAAGGGGAAGGGCGGGCGTTGTGGCCAGTGCGGAGCCTGGGGCTTCCTCTGGGGCGTGAGGCCGGGAGGGGGAGATGGGCTCTGAGTTCCCACAGCCCTCTGGGCAGCCACCAACATCTCGTGCCTCCCCAGTGCCTGCCGGGTGGCCCAGGGAACGTGTTCTCATTGTCCGTGTCGGTTTCCCCAGCCACGAACAGGAGGCTTTGGCGAGGCAGATGTTCCGTCTACAGCCCTTCTTTGCCTGCACTGACCTCTGAAATCTGTGCTTCATTTAGAAACCTTTTGGTACCCTTACATCTTGGTTTTTAGAAATATAATTTCTCTATGGTTTTGGGGGCATCGTGAGGATGTATTTGTCCAGTGTTGGGGAACTGAAAGGTACTTAATACGGGTGCTCTTACCCTGATGGTTACAATGCAGCAAACAGAAGAGAGGCTTAGACGTGTTTTTAGCGGAGTGTGGCAACTCCAGGGTGTCAGCATCGGGTGCCCAGAACGCCCTGGATTAACCTGGAAACCCTTTTTTCTTGCCTTTTACCTAAGACAAGCACTGCCACAGGTTGGGAGGGAGGAAGCAGGGAATTTTAGAAAATGTCATTGGCAGAAAAGGATCCAAAAAGATGCCGACTGTTGGGAGAGTGTGACCAGTCCTACAGTCCTTTGCCTGGTGTCTTTCGGAGATGAAAAGGAATGGTGTGTTCTGGGTCCCGTCTCGAGTATGTGCTGTGGAAAAAGGCACTAGCAGGGACCAGGTGCTTCTCTTAATAATAACTCATCTCTGAGTAAGGATAAGAGCACTGGCTTTAGTTGATGTGAAACTTCATTGTTCACGGTCAAGAGACTTTTTGAGGCTCCTGCAGCCAGTGAGGGGTAGGCCTGAGGTTTAGCACTAGGCAGCCTGTCCCCAGGGCCTGGCATCTCCTCATTACACCCCGTGGCAGTGCTGGGACACAGAGGTCCCTGGGTCGGGGCTGGGAAGTGCTTTTCTGACCTGGTCCCTAGGACGTAGCCTGTGACCCCTCATGTGTTGCGATTGGGCTGGAGGCCCTGCTCTGCTCCGCAGGGGAATGTGTGTCAGCCACTGTTGGCTGGTCTCCAGGTAGCCAGGGCACGTCCTGGGCATTTCCGTGTGTGGCCAGTGGCTCGGTCACGTGCCTGCGTTCTTTCTCCAGCAGTCATGGTCTGAGCAGGTTCCAGGCCACCCAGAGGCACCTCCCTGTCTATACCTCTTCCCGGGGGGCAGATGCTCCAGGATTCTGTGCAGGTGTTGCCCGTGGGCAGCCAGACAGACGTACCTCCCTCAAGTACATAGGCCCGCTCAAGCCCAGTTACCTGGATTTTCTGTTTTCACCCTCTTTCTGGAACTGGTGTGAACTAGAACTTGGTGGAGGCTAGGGAGGGCCTCAGAGACTCAGCTGATATTTGTCTCTAAGAGTCACATGGTAAACTCAGTTGAATGTGACATGGAAGGTAGCTTTGCCTTGATAGCATCTCGTGCTCCTGATTCCACAGGTAGGTCGAGGGACATCTTCGTGTGCCTGGGAGAAGGCCCTGGCATTCGTGTTCCATCCTCCTGCGTGACGAGCTGGCCCACAGGCAGGTCCTGCTGCTGTTTGCTGACCCCCACCTTGGCAGAGGGCCTCAGAAGAGCCAGGAGAAAGTGGCTGGAGTAGTCACTGCCTAATGAGTATGAAATTTCAGTTTGGGATGATGCCGGAGTGCTGGTGATGGATGTGGGGGAACTTTCTTTGTAAACCTTCCAGTGACAATGACAAGTGGGTCTGATCAGCCCCACTCTGTAGTGGAATAAATGGAGACTCAGAGTTGAAGGGACTTTCCTAATGTGACGCGGTGAGTGGAAGGGCCATCATTCAACCCCAGGGCTTTCTGAACCTGTTTTGCCAGAGATGTCTGGATCTAAAGGAAAGCTGGAAGAATTGGGTCCGGTTTTGGTTTGGGTTCTGGCCCAGAGGACTTCTTAAAATGGCATCGAAGTGCTTGAAATATTGGTTTTGTCACTTTTTATGTCTTTGCCAAGGCCCTCGCACCTGTCCTTGATGTGGTTAGGGCGATGCCAGGACAGTGCTTGGCCTCCCCAGGGAGAGGGGGTGCCTAGCGGATTTCTCCACCTGCCTGCGTTGGGGCCCTGTTGAGGGTCTGTAGCTTTTATTTTGCTGTGGCTGCCTGGTCGTGACTGAACCAGATGAGCTGCCCTAGGCAGTCACATTCTGAGTCTCTGGTATCCGCCCGGGACAGGAGGTGCATGAGGCCAAGATAAGCCGACTCCCCGCTAATCACCCTTGGCGACACCCCTGCCTGGCGCATCCCACCCGGAGGCCAAAGCCACGTGGGCTGTGGGCTGGGCTTTCCTCGGAGCCCGACCACACTTCCCTTTGTCATTCGCATTTCCTTTTTGCCTTTTTTTTTCTTTTTTTTTACCTTCTTGATTTCAAACTTGGACAGACAGCTTTTTGTTCCTGCAAATGGAAACTCACCAACCTCTCTGGGTCGTCGGCTTTCTCGCCGTGTGGTCCTCATGCTGGAGGCTTTCGTAATTCCACTGGGTTTTCCCACCCTCAGTGCTCTCTGCCGGGACCGCGTTCTGACCACTGGTTCAGGAGCCACGCAGGTAGCTCAGGGGACACAGGGCCACCTAGGGGAGCCTCTGGGCTCTTAAAATAGCGTCCACTTCCTCCATGCTTTTAGACTTACTTTGACTTCACGTGGGTGTACCTGGTATTTCCATCCTGAACTGATCTGAATTAATTTATTTGGTGTGAAGTAAGCAGTTTTAAGATAAAATGGTTTGTAAGCAGCACCGGATCAGGGGAAAAAATGTCCCCTGAAAATGAAACTCTGTAGGGAGCTCAGAGTAGCTTCTTTAAGTATTTTACTTTTAACTTATTTTTAATTAATTTTAACTTTATTATAAAAATTTGTTTTGAATTTTTAGGAACCAGGAAGGAAGAATGAGAGCTTGGCATCTTGTTTTTTTGGGTTCCTACTAAGTTCTTTTTCAGGTTCAAAGTTCATGTTGGTCTTTGTGCTTAAAACAAAAACAAAAAAACCTAAAAAGACAAACTATCACTTTAAAAAAACAAAACAAAACAGTTTTTCAGCCACAATCTACTCTTTGCAATGGCTCTGAGAGGTACTGTGCTGGAGAGTATCTTTTGACTTTTAACATCCTTTCTTACTCCTTTCTTTTTTCTTAATGGAGGTACTGGGGATTGAACCCAGGACCTCATGCATGCTAAGCATACACTCTACCAGTGAGCTATTCTCACCTCCCGAAACTATCGCATTTAATTATAAAAGTAATGCAGTTTCTACTGTAAAATCCAGAAGATTGTAAAGACTTATTAATAAAAGTCGGAATATTCCCTCATGTGGACATAATCTGTCGGCATTTTGGTACATGTTTTCATCTACATATATGCTTGTTTTGTTTTAACAAAATGAGGTCTTACATTTCCTTCTGTTTCCCTAAATTTCCCTGAAAGGATTTAAGCATTTTCCCATGCAAAGACATCACATAGATTGTTGAACCATTCCCATCTTGGAGAATATATTTGCAGTTTTGCAGTGTTATCAATAAAACATTTTTGTAGTTAAATCTTTGATCTCATCTATGATTATTGCCTTGAGAGAGAATCCTGGAAGTTATTGGATCAAAGGCTCTACGTACTTTTGCTTTTCTCTAAATGGACAAATTGCTTTCTAGGAAAACTTGTACTTGAGTAGACATTCCAACAGCAGAGAGCGAGTGTCTGTTTCCTCTTCAGCGTTTTAGTCTTTATAATCATTGATAATTTAAGTGAAAAGTGCTACGTCACTGGTATCTTAATTTAAATTTGATTACTGGTAAGGGTGAACACTTTCCCTTTGTTTTTTGGCCACTTTAATTTCTTCCATGAGTTTGTTCATGTCCTCTGGCAGTTATTCTGTGAGGTGGCAGCATTTTTCTTGTAGATTTGGAAAAACTCTTACAATGTTAGTACTCTTAGTTTGTCATAATTGCAAATATTTTCTCCATCGGGTTGCTGATTGGTTTTGTTGTTTATATGTATGAGCACGTGCGTTTATATGTACACAGATTTTTTTATTTTTGTGTAGACAGATCTTTTTTTGTTTTCACTTGGATGCGTATTACAAGTATTCAAGGTTTTCTTCTAAATCTGGGAGGAGATAGCTTTTAGTTTAGCTCTTTCGTCCATCTGAAGTTTGTTTTGGTGAAAAGCATGAGTGATAATCTGTATGTGTCTGAAAGGTCCCTTTTCCCAGCTCTGTCTATTGAAATGTTGTTCCCTTCCTCAGTGACAGGTAATGCCACCTTTCTCATGTCCTATATGCTCTCATAATGTTCCTGTCCTTTTTCTGGGCCATCCATCCTTTTCCAGTGTCAGATGCTGTTTGGATTAAAGTAGCTCTGAGCCCTCATCACTCTTTTGAGAGATCCTTTTATACAAAGTTAAAAGTCACTTTGCTTAGATGGAAAAAGAAAAAGTCCCTCTGAGAATCAATTCACCGGAAAGACACTTGGGGCTTCAATGTCTAAAACTCAGTCGCAACAGTTAGGATGCATTTCCCAAAATAAGACTTCGCACAGTTGTGAAAATTCAGACAGGCATCTTGCCAAGTATCCTGCGTACCAGCTGAAGAATCCACAGGGCAGTGAATTGTAATAAAAAGGGCTATTTTTGCGTTCCCAGACTCCTGCAGTGAAAGAACGCGTACCATTTTCAAACCAGATGCATCCTCTGGTTTTTAGATTTTGTCGCTTCTTGGCTTATGTGTTTATTCTCAGGGCCACAGCTTTATGTTTTGGAAAGAAGTACATCCCAGTGCTGTTGGTCCATAAGGGTTCTTCTGCCCTTTCATGTGTCGGGAACCACAGAGCCCAGGGTTGGGTACCCAGGTATCTTCTCAACTGTGAGATGACCAGTGGTTCCCTAATCCTGGGCCCCAGGGGTTCCATAGAACTTCTTCAGGGCTCTGACAAACTGTAAACAACAATAAAGATTTTTAATCAGCCGAGAGAGTGTTTAATTGCTTATTTTTATGTATTTGGGTTCTCTGTAAGATTTTGTTTTGTCATCCCCTGAAATGTTCAAAAAGCCCTGACTAGGCAGCCTGAAGTCTCCTGGAGCTCTAAAATCATGCAGTTCTGAACCTTCTGATGCTATCAGCTCCCCCAGGGTATCCTCGGGTGTCCAGTTCTGTGCTCTTGTTAATAGAGAAGAAAGAAAACCTGGAGAATACTCTAGCCCCCCAGTTTCAGACTTAAAGTAGATTCGGGGAATTGATCCATTGTTTTTCCCTTTGTCCCCTGGCTGGCTGGCGGCTTCAGAACGTGCTCACTCTTGTGTTCAGGTGTGGAGTGCATCCGTGACTCGTCTTTGTCCCACCGGGATCAGTGCATGATCGCAGGCTGTGTGCTTTCTGTCCCAGGCAGGGAACGTGGTGACGGGAGAGATGGTGGAAGAGCTTATTCTTTCCGGAGCAGATATCATCAAAGTGGGAGTCGGACCAGGTAAGACTTGCTGGGGGCACCGCAGAGGTGGTGTTGCGGGGAGGACTGGGGTCTAGGGCTGGGGGTGGGGGGGACTGGAGATGCCCAAAGGGAACCAGGAGTGATTGATCACACGTTTAAAGCACATTTCTGTTGGAAGTATCTTTGGGTGTCTGCTCAGAAGAGGCTCCTGATTAGCAACGTCATTGTCACTGAGCTGCTTTCTGATGGAAGTTCTGAATGAGCTCGAACGCGGTTCACGTGCGAGGTCCTGGTTCCAGAACATGAATGGGGAGGAGAAGAATGGGATTTCTTGAATGATACTGTTCACCCTGAAGGGGAAGGAGAGGGCTGAAGAGTCCGTGGGGACAGTTAGTGTCCACGAATAGCTCAAGTTTATGTGGATGTTTGAGGGACCCCACACGTTGCAAACAGACGTGCAGCTGTGAGGCCATGTTTGAACTTGCCCCATGGCCCATGCAGTTATCACCTTGGGCTTCTCACCGTCTCAGAGTTTGCTGCATCCTCCCGCGCACTCGCTCCTGGGACTGCCACTGGCATTTCGAGCGGAGGAATGGGATGGAACCTTCCACCCTGAACCAGGTGGCTCCGTTTTCTCTTGGGGCTGATTGATGCTGGCCTTCCCCTTTGGCCAGACAGGAGCCTGAGCTTCCCTATTTTTAAATCCTTCATTGCCACATTTTAAAATTCTTCCTTGCATATCCATTATTAACCAAACACTAAAATTGGAGAGAAGGAAAGAAGGAGATAATACACTTTCAGTTGGGAATGAGAAACAGCAAAGATTTTTTATAAATATCGTCTGGCCAAAAGACACTACCAAAAAAGGCAGCGAACCATGAACCCGTTAAGAAGAGTCTGTGGGAAAGTGCTGCTGGGAGGCAGGAGATAGCGTTTGTTGTGGCCTGGCACAGTGGTCAGCCTCGAGGGACTAGGACGCAGATGACAAAAGGGCCCTGAAGGCTGGTCAGAGTACCTAAGCTTCTAACACATACGGAGGTTTTCAAGATGGGGCTTTTTCTGTTGCCACTCTCCTAAGCCAATCTGACATTCTGAGCAAGAGGAGAGACAGCTTTGGTCTTTACTGAGTGTCCGTCATTACTGAAAAGTCACGAGGATTTTAAGGCCCAGTTTTGGCTTACGGGGCGCTCTCCCCACACTGAGGATGGGCTGAAATAGACCAGGCTTGTGACAGAGTCGAACAGGCTAATCACAGACAAGGGAGACTCTTTTTTCCCCCCAAAGCAGAGTGTGCACCATCCCCTGTTCAATCAGATACACCTGGAGAGTCTCCTGGCTGCCGTGGTGCTGGGGCGCGGGCGCTGTGCGGGGTGTGAAGGGGTGTCGGCGGTCTTGGCGCTGAAAGAGCTCTTGGTGTAATCGCGCACATTCAGCCTCGTTTCCTTCATGTACATCCTCTGTGTACAGTCTCTTCCCCTGAAGACTTACTGCCCTTCTGCTGTGTGCCTCCCAGGCTGTCTGTTTAGAAAAGACGTGACGAAGGGGAGTGAGAGGCCTTCCCTGAGCCTGATGTGTTGGAGCCACTTTGTAAATTGACTGGAGATGATGTTTACATCTCACGAATTCTTTAGAGTGAAAACACTGAGTATTACATATCTAAATGACAGTGTTTTTTTTTTTTTTAAAAAAAAAAGGTTCATTCTGGAAGAACTCCTGGGAACTGGGAAAAAGCATTTAAATGTCCCCCGGCCGATCCCCAGGCTGGGAGGAAACAGGTACCCTGTTTCTTCTTTCAGCCTGGGGGTCAGTCACGACCACACCTTCGCCCACGCCTTCCCCCGTGTCTGTGCGTCTGTGCAGAGCTCTGAAGCCCCTGCCTTCCCTTGAGGATCTAGCGTTGAGTGGGAAAAGGGAAAAGCCAGGTCTGAACCAGAACCGGGGGTTATAAAACTCCAGTTGTGCCTCCACAGTATGCGTCTGGGGCAGAGCAGGGCTTGGTCAGGAGAGAAACTCACTGGCCCCAAGATAGTGAGTGACCACGTTGTAAGGATGGACGTGAAGTGATGGGCTCCACCCCGTGGCCGGGTGCAGGAGAAGGCCGCTCCCCCAGTCCTGGTTTTCCTGCTGGAATCAGGCCTGAGTGTAGCCAGGGTTCTCTGTCCCTAAAGAGCCCTGGGAAAAGTTGAGGGAAGCTGTGAGGCCATTGGTGCTGGTGGGGAGCAGGAGACGGGAGGGCCTCGCCCACAGGTCTGGGGGAGTGGAGGAGTTCACTCCCAGCTTTTACACTGGCCCCAGGGCGCCCCGTGGGCGGCACCACCAGACACCCGGGGGTCTGAGTGACTGAGCGGTGAAGCGGGGGAGACGGGGACACGGGTGACTCATTCATTAGTGAGTTCGTGCATTCTTTAGTGACTGGATAGTGCCCCGGTTACATACGAGGCTCTGTTCTCAACGCTGGATCTACAGCGATGACTCTCCATGCAGCTCACCACCCAGCAGAGAAAACAGACCCTTGGTTCTTACACAGATAATTATTTAAATGTTTTTTTTTTGAAACGAGTGCTGGGATGAACAACTTCCCTGAGGCAGTGACATTGAAGATGAAGCCTGAAAGATGAGAAAGTGTTGGCTGCATAAGGGGTTGGTAGAGATGGGAGCGCTCGGACAGAGAGAACATCGTGTACGAGGATCCCCGGGGTAGGGGGGACTGGCCCTGCCTGGGAAGCTGAAGGGGCAGGGTGGCCGGAGCGAGGTGAGCAGGAGCTGGAGGAGAGGAGGTGGGAGAGCTGCTGGATGCTCTGGAGCTTGATCCGGATGATCTGGCTGGGTGCTCACTTGCTGGAAGGGAGAGGAGAGGCTTGAGCAAGGGGACCGAGGGGACACGTGCTGGAGATGTTGGCACGACTCGGCCTGGACCTAACTGGGCTAGTACTCTGCAGACGGTCAGCCAGGACTGGAGTTGACTGTGGGAAAGGTGGAGGGCGAGGGGCTGAAGGCAGCGAGGTGGCTGGTGTGAGTCCCGCAGTGGAAGCGGACGGGGTGGGAGGTGGACTTGCAGGAGCCTGGGGAACAGGAGGACAGAGCCGAGGGAGAGGGCAGGGCGGGAACACCGCGCTGCCGGCTCCCCTTCCTCGGGGGCACGCTAACATCTCTTATGTCACAATCTCCACCACAGCCCTACAAGGGCAGTGCTTTTATTTCCGTATTACAGGTGAGGCACTGAGGCTTGGGGAAGTTAGTAATTTGACGCAAGCTGAAGGGCAGGAAGGCTCAAGGTAATGGGAGGGATTATGGGGAAAAGGGAAGGAAGATGGGAAAGAATCGGAGCCAGCAAGTGGGAGCTGATGTCAGAGGGGAGAGAGGCGGTGACAGGGTGTAGGGTGGAGTGTCCTGGACATCAGCATGGGATGGTGATGAGGACCTGAAGGGACACGTGGCCAGGCGGTGGTCACAACCACCTCCACTGAGCTGCAGGGCAGCCCCATCCTGCCCCCGTCCCCACCGTGGAAAGTTCGCCCCCAGTCAGTCAGTGCAGGGCTGTGTGACGGTGATGGAAGCTCAATTTGTGTCACATTCTGCTCATTCATAACCATCTCTCTTTGGGGTCTGCCTCTTCCTCCATCCAGGTTCCGTATGCACCACCCGCACCAAGACGGGGGTGGGTTACCCCCAGCTGAGCGCTGTGATCGAGTGCGCAGACTCGGCCCACGGTCTGAAGGGGCACATCATCTCCGTGAGTCTCCGAGCCTGGGAGGCCTGGGGCAGGGGGATCTGGGAGCCTCTCGGGACTGCGGGGAGGCCCCTGCTGGTCCCTGGCCACCATTCACCTGGTTGGCATCTAGTGGGCTCAGGGCACCCAGGTCTCAGAGGTGACATTCAGCAGAGACGTAGACCCTTCTCCCTGCTTACTCTGCGGCGAGGGAGGCAGCACAGGGGTCAGTTACAACTCTAGTCAATAACAGCTCGCAGTGGTGGGTAGTGCAATGGGAGATAGGTGGGCAGTTTTGCAAAAATGAGGACCCAAACCTTAGTCTGCCGTGGCTGCCATAATGAAGTACCCTAGGCTGGGTGACTGACAATGGGAAATATATTCCCATAGTTCTGGAGGCCAGAAGTCCAAGATCCAGGCCAGCAGGGCCAGGAGGCCTCAAGGGAAGAGTCAGTTTCAGGCCTCCCACACTTCTGGTGGGTCCTTGGCTTGTGGCCCGGGACTCCAGTTTCCATGTGGCGCCCCCCACCTCACCATGTACGTGTCTTTGTGTCCAGATTTCTCCTTGCTATAAGAACATCAGTCATGTGGGATTGGAGGCTCACCCTACTCAAGGGTGACCTCACTGGGGCTAATCACACCTGCAGGGGTTGTCTGATGCTGCCAGCCCGTCACCGGTTACTGTAGTGAGAGCAGATTCAGTAGCACGTTGGGGGCAGAAGGTGGATTTTTGTGGGTTGAGGAATGTAGGGGAAGGAGGGGAGGAGAGGCAGAGACAGTGGTCTCAACCACACTTTCAGGAAGCTCCTGGAAGGGCAGCACCACAGCACTCAGACACTGAATGTTAAGGACTGAATGTCAGGTTAAAATCCTCAATTGATCTCTAATTCTCCTCCACCTTTACCAACGTGACCTTCACTTAAATAGTTAGCACATCTCCCCTTCCAGATGAGATGCTCAGAATAGGACAGAACGTGTCAGGTGGAATTGGACGGGCTTGGACAGAGCCGTGGCTTCCACTCATGTGGGTGACACAGACATACATATATATTTTAAAATTCGGAAGTAGTGGCATATTTTTAATGGTCCTATAACAATGGATTCATATTGAATACAGGAGGTTAAATTTTCAGTTCTCAGGCCCCATCTCAGACCTACTGAATCAAACTTGGAAGATGAGGCCCAGGAATCTTTTAACAAGCCTTCCAGGTAAATCAGATGTGCTTTCAGAGTCAGTACCCAGGGAACCCTGAGAAAAGGGAGGGATTTGAATGACCAGATGAGTTCACTGTCCACTGATACCCAAAAAGGGCTTGGACTTTGTAGTGCATCTTAAAACCGATTAAAAAAAAAAAAGTCCTCTGGTGAGGACCACTACCGTCTGTTTACTCAAGGCCAACATTTTAATCAGTGCGTTTTATAAAGACTTAGAGAGCATGCTTCACAGAGGTCAGGTGGATTCAGAATAATCCGCAACCTCCTCCTTGTCTACACCCAGTCATGAGGGCTCTCATCCCACTGACCCCCTGCAAGGAAGGAAGGATTGATCAGCAAATTTCCTATAATTTTGTTGATTTAATGTAGTAGTTTAGGAATCGTTAGACCATTTGTTGGAAGAATCTAAAAAAGTCATTCAAAGAACTTAGTTTTGTTTGAGGCTTGAAAAATTCCCCAGCCAAATAAATTTAGCCTAGACAGAAATATAAAGGAAATAAAGATGACTAGACATGCCTTATTAAGATAACCACTGCTAATATATGTATGCTTCTAGACATTTCTAGAGTTTATTCAACCAAGGTTCTAATCTTGTTCCTCCTTTATTATAGCTGTGTGACCTTAGGCAAGTCACTCAACCTTTCTGAGTCTCCCTCTTTGTTTTCCCCCACCTACAAAATATCAGCTTCAGGTTCTTGTGGTGTTTGAATAGGAAAATGAAGTTTGTAACAATCCCTGGTCCATAGTTGGTGCTTGATTCGAAATCCCTCTGCCTCCTGCACGCTTGCTGTTATGGCCCCTTCTTTTAGGGAAGGGCAGGTATTTTTAAGAAGGGGAGGTAATGCTGACAATTCACATCGAATCACCACTCACAGTATGGTGCCTTTTCTATGTTAACACTCTTGCAAAACAAAAGTAACCCTTGGAATATTTGCACATTGTTTTCTTAAAAACTCCCTGTAGCTATGCATGTTCGTTTGTGAAAGTAAACGTGTGTCTCAGATTGCAGACGGTTTCCTCCTAGGACCTCACTGGGGCCCGTTGCCAGTAACAGGTGGCAGCCTGGTTGTTTGTCCCCCTAGTACAGAAGCACAGTGGACCTGCGTCCCAGTAACCTTGTTCTGGGTCCCTGGTATTGAAAGTATAACAGCCCCCCCCACCCCTATCCTGGCTGAACCGTGCCTGGCGGCATAAGATGACAGGCCGCCCTGCCAGGCCCTGAACCAGCCAGGGGAGCCCTGGGTGGGCAGAGTGGGTGTCAGGAATGCGTGTTTGCGGGGTACTGGGTACCTTACAGGATGGTGACTAGGAGACACATGGAATGGCTGGGAATATAAAGGAGTGAATTCAGTGTTCTTTCCAGCTCTTAAAATACTTCAGCTTTTGCGCTAAATAAATCTCCCCTCACATTGGGCAGTGGGGGAAGTGACTATTGCGTGGTAGTAAGGGGGACAGCCAGTGGCCGGGCATGGTGTGCAAGGGCTGGCAGGGTACAAGCTTCGCAGCTCCCGCTTCCTGCATCCCAGACAGCACATTGATGCCCGCTGGAGGGCAGGCAGTGGCGTGCTGGCCTGAAACGGGACGGAGGGGGCCTGGGGAACAGAAGGTGCCATGTTGAGGGGAGTGTTGGGCCTCAGCTCTGAGGGTTGTGTGCTTGGCTGGGGGCTCGGTGAGCGGGTACCAGCGACTCACGCCAGTGGAGGGGGACAGCCTGGCCCAGCTCCCGCTGACACCCTCTCTGCTCCTTCCTCTGCAGGACGGAGGCTGCACGTGTCCAGGAGATGTCGCCAAAGCCTTTGGTAAGTGGCCGCAGGGGAAGGAGATCCCTGCGGGGCTGCCGAGGAGGTGGGACTCTTCGGGAAGTTCAGGGCCCGCCCTGAGTTTCCTCTCCCTGGATTTCCGCCCACATTGGCCCAAATTCTGGCATCCGTTTGGCTCTGGTTGGTGGCAGAGCGCACTGAGTGCCCCCAGGGTAGATGGAGGGTGACATCCTGCAGCCCAGGAGGGAGTGATGTCATGGCCTAGAAGTCATAGCTGAGAAGGCTCAGGGCACACGTGGAAGAGGACTGTACCCGGTCTGATGCCTGGAAACTTCAGCCTGGGTCTCGGGGGCCTAACTTGGGGAAATCCTGTGGGAGGGACAGGAGTCCCCACGGCTGTTTCTCACCAGATGCTGAGAAGCCTGTTGCCCACCAGGGGGCAGTAGCGTCTGGCTGTGGTCGGTGTGGCTGGGCCGCGGGGCCCCAGCCAGGTGTTTTCTTGAGGAAGCACGGGGAAGTCCAGCCTCTCAGCCTGCTCTGCCCTGTGCCTGTCTCTTAACCTTCGTCAACTACGGTCAGAAGTCAGAGCTGCCGCACAGCCGGGGACTCCCAACTGTGAGGTGGGGGATGTGCGTACCTGCAAAAGGCAGAAACAAAACTACCCCCCCGCCCCCCTCCTTTCCTGATGCCAGGGCCAGGTTTGCTGAGGGTGTATTTGTTTTTCAGTGGAGGGAAGCTTTCTGCCTTGGGCATTCCCCAGGGATGGCAGTGGTTCCGCCCCTTACCTGTGTGAGGTGACGCCTGCTTAGTACTACTTTTTCTGTTTCTGTCTATGCCAGAGAACGCCTTCAGCCTGGACAGTGGTTCGTTTTTGAAATTACTTTTAAAGCACTGATGGTGACAGAGGGAAACCTGAGGCAGTGTTCTAGCAGCTGGGTTTTATAGCAACCCTGGAGAATGTCCAGGACACTGGGGCCCCAAGAGGCAAGCGACAAGGTGAGGGTCCCGCAGGCAGGGGTAGAGCAGGGCCCCATGGGACTGCTGCTGCGTGAGTGCTTCTCACCCAGTAGAAGGCTCATCAGCCAAGGGCACGTCTGCTGTTGATTTCTGAGCTGCTCGCACTTAAGACTGACAGGGGTTCCACCTCAGGCTCCCTGCTCACTGAGCACACTGTGTTCCGCACAGAGTGGCCTTTGGACCCATGCTCTGGCAGCTTTCCCTCCCCGGCTCCCCTTCCAGAAGTGCAGCCAGGCCTGTGCCAAGGCTCAGTGGAGGGAGAGGACCGGGTCAGGGAAAACGCTGGTCAGGAAAGGACACGAGAGCATTCAGAAATGAAGATAATGGGAAGCCATGTCAGAGCATCGTTTGCGTGGCTCTGGGCTCTGTGCTCCTGCTGTTTACAGCTGCTCCTGGGCTTGAGGGCAGCAGGAGGCCTGACCGGACACCATGCATCCCCTCCCCTCTTACCCTCGTGGCAGGAGGCCGAGGAGCCAGTGTTCGTGTGAGGGACCCTGAGGGGAAGAGTCTGCGGAGCTTGCCACCAAGTAGAGAGGTCCTGTCGTGCCTCACTTGCCTGACTGCCAGGCCCAGGGGCCAGCCCCACAGAGCCCGCCTTTCTGCAGTGCTGAACGGAAGGGACGCCCCTGAGTCCCCTTGTAAATATTTCAGTGACTGCAAGGAAGCGGTCGAGGCCGCGTTCCAGGGCGGCCTGTGTCTGCTCCTTTGTCCTGCACGCTGACCACTTAACGCAGTTCCCTGATACCCTTGCATTCTCGCTGTGAACCCCCCCTCAGTCTCACTCGGGGAGAAGTTGGGGTCATTTCTTCCTTTCTAGTCAGTGGAGAGCTTCTGCACAGTTATCCGCAGACAGGATGATATCTGTGTCTTCCACAAATAGACACTTTACTTTCCTGACAACCAGTTCCTCCTTGTCTGCCGCAGCCCATGCACTGTGACAAACACTGAGACGGCCGTGAGCCAGCTCTGCCGTCCCAACTGTTCTTGGTCCCGGTCCAACAGAGCCTGCAAAGGCAGCCTCAGTATTGCAGCCTCCCCTGTACCTATCCTGAAGCTCCATGTCATTCACTGATTAATAGGAGGTATTTTATACTCTGCAAGTCAAATGTTTATCACAGCAGAGGTGTAAGTAGAGTTTTGCAGGTTGTACATAGATATCTATACACATACACACGCACACACGCACACAGCTGCTGTCCTTCAGGCCCAAGCTTTAGTGCAGGTGGTTGTCTCTCCTGTGGTCCTTTCATATTTACGGAGTATGAGTGCTGAGAACCTCAGGTAGACCAGATGGCTGGTGGGCACAACGCAGAGGAGTTACCAAGTATGAGTTGCGATGAGATGCTGAGATGCTGCCCAGTTCTTAATGTTTCTGTAATTTTGAGACCTCTGGCAGGTGGTCAGAAGGGCTCATCCATAACCACTAAGGACTGTCCACAGGAAAAAAACAAAAAACTGTCTAGCGTGTTAGCCGCCAGCCTCCAGCAGCGCTGTTCTGCAGTGTTCAGATTCGTTGCTCAAGTGTCCAGTGTCCATCTCCCTGTACACGGAGGCGTCTTACTTTTTTTCTGAAGGGGGTGGTTGAGTTTTTCTCTGACTATGGCCAGGAGGAGGGAGGCTGAGTTGGCAGCACTTGGATTTTTCCAGAGCTGATTGTCTCTGAGCTCTTTTCTCTGCTTTCTTTTGTCCCCCACCACCGTTGGCCTGTAGGAGCTGGAGCAGATTTTGTCATGCTGGGAGGGATGTTTTCGGGCCACACTGAGTGTGCTGGAGAGGTGATCGAGAGGAACGGGCAGAAGCTCAAGCTCTTCTACGGGATGAGCTCCGAGACAGCGATGAAGAAACACGCGGGCGGGGTCGCTGAGTACAGGTACGCGGGGGCTGTCACTGGTGGGGTCCCGTTCCCCTCGCTTCTTACGGAAATGGGATGGAAGCAGGTCTCAAAAAATAAGAGTCTGTTTATAGGATAGACTCTGGGAGGGAGCTAGAAAACATGTCTTGCCTCTTTCGAAACAGCCATGATTTTTATCCAGGTAGCCTTTGCAGTGTGTGGGGCCCTCGAAGGGCAGTGTGGTACAGAGGTGTTTGGGGATGAGACGGGACTGGAACCCAGAGGTAGGTGAGGAGGTGGGACTCCTGCTGGGGACCTTCCAGACTTCCAGGGGGTGGGCAAGAACATCACTGCCTTGTCCTTCTGATAGTCTGTGTGGAGCCGGGGACCAGTTCAGGCGCCAAGAGTCAGGTTGAACAGTGGGTCTCCCACTGCCTCTGAGACTGGTGTGGTCGAGACCACCGCATGGAGCTCAGGCCTTTCTGGACGCTCCACCTGCAGTAGCTCCTGCAGGACTCTCACCTGCCTCCAGGCTCTGACAGTTGACACAGGCAGCATTTTTAGCCGTTTAACGATGTCGCTCCACAGAAGGGGTGCTCTCGTCTGCTTGCCTGTTTCACTTCCATTGTGACTGTGGTGCACGTGTGTGTAAGAACGTCAGGACAGGGTCCATCCACTGCCCTGCCTGGCTCCGTAGAGTCTGCCGTTGCTTCTCATCAGAGCTGGCACTGATGACGAGCTCTGCAAAGTAGACTGGACAGGAGGCCCTGCATCCTCAGAAGGATGTCCGCTGTGAGGGGGCTGGTTGCCTTTCCCCAGGAGGCCTCAGGCCCTGGGATGGTCAGCCCCCGCCCCAGCTGATACCCGACCACACTCAAAAGCTTACTCTGAGGACATGGCATTCAGATGCATTGGGTAAGGCTTGAACCAAGCTAGAGGTCAAAATCTCAGCTCCATGGAGATTTCCAGGCCGGCAGGAGGGAGGTGTGGGGTCCCCCACCAAAGTTCTGTTCTTGGGTTCTGTGGACTGACCGCAGTTCTCATTTCTCCCCTCTTCTCTCTCGGTGGGGACCTCAGTGAGGATGGTGTTGCAGGGAAGAGGAGCAGGGCCCTGCATTCACATCTTCATCCTGGAAACGTCAGGCAGAACAAGAGGGACCCCCCCTTCCCAGGAGGCCTCTGAAGGCCCTCTTTCTCCCATAAGTGATGGAGGAGGCTGCACAGTTTGTCAGGGGGCAGAGGAAGGGGTTTACTGCCTCAGTTCCAACCTGGCCAAGACACTTAATGCTTTACCAGCAGCCACTGTCACTGGTCAAGGGCCTGTGTACGGGCCCTCCCTGCCACTATGCACGTGGGGCCATCGGGCCAGCCAGGGGCTCTGCCTAGAGTCCATTTTCTGCCCACCAGCTGTTGCATCTGTTCTGGGTTCTAAGCAAAGTAGGTGGGGACGGCCGGACCAGGCTGTGGCACAAACAGAAGCCACGGAGCTGATGGAAAAATCATCTCCTGTAATCTCTGCCGGGTTTAGACAAAACAGAAAATGGAAGATATGGAGTATCAAGACTCAGTGCGGATTCGAGTCTTAGGAAAGTGCTGAAGGAATTAGTACCTTAGTCCACAGCCAGCCTGAGCCCTGCAGGCTGTGTCCGTGTTCCCTATCTGTCTCATTCTGCCTCCCTCCTACCCTCTCCTCCTCACCACCATGATCCCCTCCTGAGAGCAGTTCTCCTGCTTAGACCTTATATTTAAATAAAGCAGAGTTGTGTATGTTTTGCTGGTTCCTTCCCAGTCGTTAACCACTTGGTGCTCACGCTGTCCTCGGGAGACAGATCAGAGACCTTCATTTTACAGGTGAGAAGACTTGAGCATCAATGATAAATGACTTGCAGAAGGTACCATCACCCCTTAGCACACAGGCAATGATGAGGATCTGGGTGATGTCCAGTAAGCCCCAGACATCTGTCTTCAGTGAACTGGCCATCTTTTCAGGCACCTGGGTCTGTGCTGGTCTCTGGTCTCAGAGAGCAGTGATGCAAGTCACTTCAGGGGTGGCCGGTGAGCTGGGTGCTGTAAACCAGCCACTGGACTGGCTGATGGCCTGAGGAGCTGGATTTCACTTGAATTTAGTCTGGCAGGTGTAGATTTCAGTGCACAAGAGTTAACACCCTTTTGAAATGCTGGGGAATGAGTTTTTGATGGAGATACTGTTTTTTTCAGTTGAAGAGACCAGCTCAGGAAAGCTGCAGAATTTGGTTAACTGTAAGAATTTCTAGATTGCCTGGCCCTTAGACAAGGGCTGGAGTTTTCCAGCGATTGGAGATGTCCTTCTTGGAATGCCCCTCCAGAAGCAAGTCCAGACCCTGCCTCCATTTTGCCGGAAGGGGACCTGGTGTGCACGCGAGCAGTGGCGCTTGGTGGCCTTGGGAGGAGTGGGAAGAGGGCTCAGCGAGGACAGTTAGATAGGGCTTAGTGCCCCTGCCGTGGGCCCGGCCTTCTGAATTTCTAAATGTGCCCCTGAAAATGTGAAAGATGCTAACCAAAGCCCCGAAACCTCCGGTGTGGAGAACGTCCTAGTTCTGCCCTGGTTCCACCTTGCAGGGACCCCCACGCCACGCCCACGATGATGGGTGTAATGACTTGTGCAGACGCAGGGAGGTGAGCTGGGGGGGTGTGCCCGACAAGGGGCCGGGCATGTGGAGCTACTTATCTTAGTAGTGGAGGTTTCCGTGGTCCGTTTTATCCATCCTTTCCCTGTCTTGGTCATCCCATGAAGTCACTGTCTCATTGGAGAGCTGGCAGGGGGTGCTCTGGGCTTGTTCTGCTGTAGACTGGGGAGGGCAAGTAGGAGAGGGGTGGTGGGGGTCCTTCAAGGGTCTCTTCCCCAGTCCAGAGGGATTCGGGGCTCTGGGTCAGTGGAAGGTCGGTGTATAGGTGAAGGCAGAAGGGGGAGATGGGGCACGCTGCTGAGAGTGTCACTGTGCAGGGTGACAGGCTTTGGTCTGTGACTTCTTCGTTTTGCTGATGGAGACTTGCCTTTCCCTGGCGCTCTGGGCAGCCAGCAACGAGGTCGTGCATTTTGGGCAGAGGAACGTGTTCACCTGAGATGCTGGCGTGATCAGCCTGGCATTGGTGGTGGTGCTGGGCTGGCCGTGGGGCCAGAGATGGCTTTCAGCTGCCTGGTGCCCTGGGGCTGCTGCAAGTTCTACAGATGGACTCCTCCTGGCTGGGTTTTTGAGGGAGGAGAACCAGATTGAAAGAGAAACCTCCTTTTTCTTCCAGAGCCTCTGAGGGCAAGACTGTGGAAGTGCCTTACAAAGGGGACGTGGAGAACACTATTCTGGATATTCTCGGGGGACTGAGGTCGACCTGCACCTACGTGGGGGCCGCCAAACTCAAAGAGCTCAGCAGGAGGGCGACGTTCATCCGGGTGACCCAACAGCACAACACCGTGTTCAGCTAACCTTGAGCATGAGGTGACATCTGGCTGGTGGAAGCTTCCACGCACGCCTGCTTTCCCATCTCCCTCCTTCTGTTACGGCAGAGTTTCCAGCTGCTCCAGGTGGTGGCAGGCTGCCTCCTCCTCCTCTCCTGCCACCTGGGGGCTGTGGGGCTCCCCCGGTGCCGAGAAGCCAGGCACGCATTGGGTCAGCGGTCAGAGCTCAGCTGCCGGGAAGGCATGCCTCACTGTTAAAACTAACACTCGCGCCTTTTTCTTTTCCTTTTTTCTTTTTCTTTTTTTTTTTTTTAAGAAAATGGTTTCACTTTAATATAAGGCTCTTAAGACGCTTGAGTGCTGGAGTTTGCATTTGCAGGAACCCAGTTGTAAGGGTGGCTGGGGGAGGCCACGGCAGAGTAACCGGTATCCCCTCCCTCCAGAGTCTGGTTGCTGGAAAACAACAAAAGCAATTGACTGGACAAGTGAACTTGAATTGGTTTTCTGAGGATGCCCCCAAAGGTGTGGTGACACGTGTCCAGCACCTGCCTTACACGTGTCTTTTGGGAACAGGTCCTCTGGCGCGGTGTCTGGGGCTGCTTCGAGGAAGCTGTCCTGGTCCTGGGTTTTCGTTTCATGTTTTCCTCCATCTCTTCCTCTCCCTCCTCAGTCCCGGCTTGTCAGGCTGGCCTCTCTCCTAAAGAGATGATACATTATTTTGAAGTTCCATGGGGTCTGTCACTGAATGATCCACCAAAAAGTTGGCAGGTGGAATCCCACTGAAAAGCAGCCAAAAACCTGGACTCGTGACTTCCTAAAAGGCATTAGTTTAAAATCTGAGGCAGAACCGTGCCCTTGTCATGGCTGTTAGCACTTTCCCAGGAGGGACCACTGGGCACTGCTGTCTATCAGTCAGTTCCCTGACTGGTGACAATGGTACTTTCTCGGAGAAAGGACCTGTGACTTGGTGGGAATCCTACTGTGACCCTTGTTTAAACAGTTAGCACAGGTGGGTTAATGATGACTGGCCACTTTGAAGCATTATTCGAGTAACAGGACTGGGAAGTACATGCCGGCCAGGGTGTTTCACCTCATTTACTTCTAAAGGAGGCTAGAGAAGCAGATAAACAGGCATAAGCTTTCTTTGAGAAGACAAACGATGGCCCTGGAGTGGTGAAGGGCCACGTGGTCCCACTGTGTGATGCCAGAGTAACTGTCTCATGTCCACGGTGACCTCCGCCGCACGAAGAATCCAACCAAAGCGTCACACTCCAGGAACTTAACAGGTCCGCGTTTAGTCTAAGAGTACATTCAAAGATCCAGCAACTTGAACACCAGTGTAATACTTTTTTCCCCCAAATCCATTCAGAGTAAGTCTTGTAGAAACATGAATGTGGCTTCATGTTTGAGATGAGAGTCGAATGGATGTTGAGCATCGAGCGCGATGTTGCTGGAGGCACCCCACCTTTCCTGTTCGCTTGTCTGAGGTATGAGCCCCCTGCTGTCCCTGTGGGAGATGTGTTTTGTACTTGAGCCCTTGAGTTGGTTTGTTTTGAGATTCTTCATCGCAAAGTAAGGCAGAGGAGTGAAGGAGAGGAGGTCTTAAATCCTTTCCAGTGGGCCAGCAGCAAGTAGTAAGGAAACTCCTAGAACAGCGTCCTCCATACTCCTGTCTCAGCTTGGGGTCACCAGTGTCCTGTCCTGGCATCAGGCCCTGTTCCGCACCCTGGCGGGCAGTCCTCTCCACGGTGGCCTAGGCCTGCTTGTCCATCTGGTGCAGAGACAGCAGACGATGTGCTCTTGGAGGAAGGCAGGTCCCTCTCTCATCCAGTTTTTACAGAAGTGAAAACATTAGTTATTGCAAAAGCCAAAAACTCGTCAGGATCATTTTGAAGCAGAGGTTTCCACCTCTAAGGCTCGTCACCCTTTGCAAGGTCCATCTGTGTCTCCAGGAGCAGTGGATGTGGGGGGCCAGTGCCGGAGTGGCCCTCAGATCTGCTGACTTCAGGGCGTCTTGTGCAGGGTGGGTGCGGGTAGAGAGGAGAGCCAGTGGCTGGATGCCACTCACCTCAGGCTGCCCTGCCATGGGCTCCTGCTGTGGTTTTAGTGGTTTCAGGGTCAGCTCTGCTGCAGTGTGAAGCAAAGGCTTGTCTCTGACCAGTCTGACTGGTTCAGGCAGGTTGCACAGCTACCGGACCCCAAACTTGTCAGGACCATTAGCATCTAATATTAAAACAGCAGGGAAGCCAGCGATCAGACTGCTTCGCCAGACGTGCCCACATCTGGCCAGACGGCTCTGGAGGACAAGGAGGGCTAGGGCAGCCGTCTCGTCCGGGCTGTGAGGCTCAGCTCATCACTGCTGGTTTACGCACTAGCATTCTCTCACACGCTAGCAGTCACAGGGCGTCAGGATCTCAACTCGTAAGCCCTAAGTGGAGCATCTTGTGAGATGTCCCCAAACATACACCTAAAGACGACGACAGTAAGGGGTTACCCATCCGTCCCTGGGCTAAGTGAAAACTACATTTAATGCTGAGAGTTCTCGTCCACCTCTGCAAACCTTAACGCTAGAAACGTTTGATAGCCATGCATGCAGATGGGAGCAGAGGGGTTCACCTGCTTGGGTCCTGGAGGCATTACTTCCTGGGACAACTGCTAAGCCACGTCTAAGAGCAGGCACAGTGCAAACCTCTGAGTTTCAAACTGGCACAAATTTACAGGAAGCACAAGTGAACTCTCCACCTTCAGACCACTAACCTGGGTATAGCCAGACTGTACAGAAATGTACTGATAATGCTACCTGAGTCCACGAAGCTGCCAGTACTGTTGAGGAACAAAATCATCTCTTGGAAACAGCCATGCTGAGCTAGGAGAAATAAACAGGAACAGAACAAGCCAAGACATCAGACAGTGAAACACACCCTTTATCAGAGTCTCAAGCAGGACTAACCCTCCCATCCCCTCAAATCAGTAGGAGAGGCACCCAGCCCCACCACAACCTACCCAGTGATCACAGCCGACTACGTGAGGAGGAGGAATTACCACCCTGTCTTCAGGCTCATCCTTCTCCCAGGACCTGACGCAAGGCGAGGACACATTTGCAGTTGGCACTGTTATTTTATTAGTACGAGTATACTGAAACAATAAACTTGTACTGGTATACAGACAATTTATTTAAAACAATTTTGTTCAAATTTTGAATCAAACATTGTTTTATTATAATAATGAAATAATTTCTACCTAGAAAACCTGCAAGCACCATCAAAGAAAGGGACCATAAAATTCAATAAACAGACTCGAGTGTATCCTACAAATAGACACACCACGATTAGAAAATAGAATATGAATTTTCCATTTTTTTAATATTTGTTTTAAAAAAGCTAGTGCAAGTACAATATTTTACACTGGAATTACAGAGAATATGCACGCATATGGAAAAAAGTTCTCCTGTCACAATAAAAGCTCTTAACTATGTATGCACTTAAAATTTTCTTTTCAGTAAGGTGCAAAACATCATTCCTTCCCTAGTTCTCCTCTGTACTGGCCATGTCAGTCTGATAGTGCCCTCAAAGTTCTGGTGTCTCTTTTCCCTTGGCCGGTGGGAGGCCTACAGTTGGAAGTTTGGTGGGTAATGATCTGATACTTTACTTAAAACACAAGGGTGCCAATCTCAGAGATGGCTCTGGGACCAGGACCCCACGGGCTAGAAATTTGGATTCTGTCTTAAGGACCACCACGAATACTGGCAGGGCGCTACTGAAACCTTTCAGCTGACACTAATTTGGGTTTACAGGGAGCAGTGAAGGTTGAGGAGGGAGAAACCTCCCCCCAAGGCCAAAAGGGCAGTATTCACAGAACCAAATGCACAGGTACCAAGTTTAAGGTTCACTGACAAAAGAAGTCACCCCCCTCCTGGACCAGATCATTTAAGAGTAAGTGGTTCGTGTACGAACCAGAGGAAACCTACATACCCAGCTTGGTAACCGCTCAGACTTGTGATTCCGGAGGACAGTGTGTTACCTCGGCAAGGATTACTGTAAACAGCGCTTCCAAAGGGGGCCTTCAGACTGGCCATGGAAAAGGAGACAGGCTCATCGGCCATCCAGACAGCAAACGAACAAACTAAAGGGAAAGAAAACTTGGGTGAAGTCTCCAATGATCTGCAGTGGAAGACTGGAGTCCTTTCAGATAAGAAAAGTTATGGAAATTCTTCGAGATTGTTACTGTAGAGATACTACCTATTGGCCAAATGCACTTAATTTTAATACAGCTGAACCATTTGTACACAAATCATGAGGCTATGAAAACCTGAAGCCGCTGTTCCCTCCCGCCCGCCAGAGTTACAGGTGAAGTCAGCTACCAGAAACATCACATTTAACGGTAAAAGAGGGGCTGAGATTCTGAATTTAAGGATTGGTGGGGGATTTGCTCAATATCCCCACAGCTGTCCAGTGTTTGCTGGCTGGCTTGATTTTTTTGGACAGTATAGGACTCTTCTGAGAAGTTGCTCCACATTTATTTTGGCCTCTTAAAGAAAAATCCAAATAAAACCAAAGTAAAACGAGGCGTTTCAATTGAAATTCATGTTTTACCCCCCCATTGAAATGAGGTGTGGGGGGCGGGGGAGAGAGGGCTGAACATTGGTGTGTGTGTGTGTGTGTGTGTGTGTGTGTGTGTGTGTGTGTGTGTGTGTGTGTGTGTGTGTGTGTGTGTGTGTGTGTCCTCGTGATCAGTCCTGGTAGCTAGGATCCCTTGCTATAAACACTTCTTGTTCAGAATTATATTCTTTGGGTTTATTGGAACAGGAAGTGCTGAAAATGTCAAACATCATCTCTGAAGAAAAAGGAGTTGCAATGGCTTAAGAGTTTCAACTAAGACGGGAGCTCGGAGAAGTACTTTCAGCACAGGAATGAAGAGTATTCTCAAATTGCAGAATACAGAGTTGCTCTCCCTCCGAAGAGGGGTGGGGTCTGTGTAACAAAAACATAGAGGAAGCATAGGTGTAGTTGAAGAGCCTTTTACGTAGTAATTCTTCCAGGCCATACCATACAAATCTGATCATTTAGACATGACACATTTCTATATACAAAAAAAAAAAACATGTAACTTTCAACCTTTATGCTTCTTTGTTTTTACAAACAAGGTATGAAACGCAATTGTTTCAACAGATCCATCTCTCTCAAACACTGAATGAATCATTTCGACATTCATTTTTCTCTTGTGCAATTTTTAAAAACATTACCTGTACTCCTCAAAGTGAGTGCTTCAAAGTTTTTTTTTTCTTCAGCGTCTCAAATTAGGTGTACATTAAAAAAGAAAAAATTCCCACAAGGTATAGTGCTACAAGAAAAGATCCTACCGGTAAGGTAACATATTTTGAAGCGAGGTCATCTATGTAAAAGAAGCGTCAGCTCCGGAGTAGAGGTGTGCAAACAGTTTGGAGTTCCCCTAGCAACAGAAACACAACACTGTGGAAAAGAGAGGAAACCAACCCAACACGATGGCGTATGCATGTGCTTTATAGAAAAAAAAGTATATTCTCTGTATAGTTATTACTGGAGGTGTTCTTAAAAGTCTCTATTTCAGAAATTCTGGGTTGAAAACAAAGGTGGAAAGCGAAGACCTCCATTCCACTTGAAAAACCAAAAAGCGTAATTCCCTTTGCTTTGTCATCACCAAGTAAGCTGGATGGAGCCCCAGAGATGCTGGCCCTTCTTTCACCTGGGATCGTCCCGGGTGACTAGGAGACAGGAAGTGCAAAGGGTTTGAGGAGAAAACAGACCATGGTTTGTTGAACTGCTTGCTGTTCCTGAAACCGTAGCCATGACAACCAACACAGCTCAAAAAGCCTGGCCTTCCAGCCCCACAGCTCTGCCGCTTCACCCAGATCTGAAATAGCATGGCATTAGTGTCTTCAAAAGCATTTGAGATTTTTATTTTCTATTAAAGAAATAGGTTTCCTTAGTAGTCACAGGTGGTAAAGGGTCTTGTCAGTTGTTTCCTTAAAGAAACAAACAAAAAATTCCAAAGCTACACCACAACAAAAATAAATTTTGGCAACGTATTTCAGTAAAGATCAAACTGTGCAAAGAGTGGATTTTAGGATTACTAGGAGCTACTGTTCATCTTGAACATGCAGCATTATATTGCAATCTATGCAGTATCTAAGGAGGAATCCACAAGATGCAGGAAATCCAAACATTCCTTAAAGTTGTACAACCCTACTCCAGAACAGTCAAAGTGCTGCTTCCGGACACGTCAGTGTACCACACACACGCCAGCCCCGTCCCTGAGTTAGAGGTGTGGAAGTTTCCGCAGAGTTCCTTAGAGGGGAGAAGGAGGGGTGCTGCCACTTCCCGGTGGGGGAGAGAACCCAACACACTCACCTAACAGAAAACACACAGGGTCACGGTTCAGAGTTAGAAATGGGATTGACGACGGCCACGGAAAGGAAAAGGAAAAACCAAATCATCCGAAACCAAACTGGGTCAGTTGGAGAAAACAAAAAATTGACTGACATAGAAAAATGATCCTGAACATCCAAATGCAAATGCAGTTTCGGATTTCCACTTGAAAAGATTTGAGGTAAGTGGCATCCATCTCTGTATCCCCCCCGCCCCCAATGTGGCCCAGACAAACCGAAAGAATTCTTAAACATTCTAAGGAACAGTCATTGTATATATTTAGAAATCCCTATAAAGAGAGGTTCTTGTTTGTTGGTTCATTATTGTTTTTTTTTTCTTCTGTTCGCCCTGACTAATTTCTTGGTGATTGTGTTCCACTGTAAACGCAAAAGGCCTGCTGTTATTAGTTGAAAAATGGGAAACAGGAAAGAAAGAACAAAAGACAGGTTCGGTAAATATTGCAAAGTGGACATTAGTACAGAGGCACATGGCTGATCCTCATAAGCTGCGCGGCACCGAAGAATTTCTCTGCCTGTCATGGTTAGGTCTGCTATGCAGGAGCGGTGACCAAGGCTGCCCTGGGAGCCTCGGGGCTCGCCAACGTCTGCAAACAAGAGGAGGGCCCCTGTCCTCTGGATGTCCTTCCTATTTGAAGAGAAAGCTGCCACAAAGGAGTAGTGACCAGTGTTCACAGGTGGCCCCCTCCACAACCAGTGAACGGATGCTCAGGTCACGCACACCACAGGCCACCACGCTTCCTGCCCACGCTCAGAGGCTCCAAGTCTCAAGGACACAGACCTGAGGAAGGGCCTGCCCACTGGCGGAAAGGACCATGGAAAGGGTTGATCCTGGCTCTATTGCTCCAGAGGGTGCCTTAGAAATGACTCCGCCTCCTTCCTCTCCACACCGCACGGTCACCATTCCTCGTGGTGACAGGGGAAGAGAAGTCCTTCCCCCACATCCCTTTCACTGGCTCTTTCTCCAACCAGGCGACAGACAAGACACCCAGGGCTCCCGAAAACTCCCTGCCCCAGGACGTGGCATCCGCAGCAGGGGGAACTCGCAGCGGGCAGCTCTCCCCTTCCTGGCTCCTTCCTTCCAGCCCTTCTCTGGCCAGGACAGGAAAGATGGACGGAAGAAGGAAAAAGCCCAAGGGGTCTGAGCTTTCTCTAGAGCACACCGATCAGACTACTGGCACAGGAAGTATTGCACATGCTAAAGAAGCAAATGGGAGCTGGAATAAGGTGTAGAAAGAACCGATTAGTTGATAATTCCTATACCTGAAAACAGAAGCACACAAGTGATGATGATGTTCCTATTGCTCCAAACCACGTATGTTTCCCCATTTTAGTGTTGATGTTGTGATCCAGTTAGTTCACTACTCGAAAGAAGCCAAAAGGTGGTGGGTGTTTCTCTGAGTCCACATGAGTTGCTGTCATCAGTGGCACTAATGAGGACAGAGTCTCTGTGGCAGCCCCGTCTTCCTCTTACCATCAAAACAGAAAGAAAAACAGAACCTAGTAATTGCAAGTGCCCTGAGCAGAATATATGGAAGATTAAGCAAGTTCTCTGAACAGAAACGTTTAAAAAAAGAAAAAAAGATACAGCACTAAATAAGCAGTATGACTGCAAGAATGGGTCCACCCAGCTCCCTGCTAGCACGCTGAGAGGGTGAGGAAATTCGAAGAAAGTCCAGGACCAGTTCTGGCTGTTCTAAACCTATGCAAATGTTTTTGGTACACCCCAGAAAATGGTTTATAAAAATCATTAGTTCTGGTCAGAGCTAAATGTGGAGGAATACTAGACAGCCCAAATAGGTGTTGATATTACAATTTTTTTTTAACTTGTGAAGTGGAAAGAGTACTATTTCCAATGCTAAAAGAAAAATCAGGTATTTGTTCAGATTAGTTGTAGCCATTCCAAGTAAGAATATTTAAAAAGGTCTCCTTCCTTATAAAACTTTTTTTTTTTAAAGCGCTTTTAAGATGCACACTCAAACCCCACAAATAATAGTGCAGAACTCTGGCAATAAAAGATTTTAAACTGTAAAATACCCTTTCTGGGTTTGTACCAAACATGAAATCTTGATTTGATTTCAGATGGAAAAAAAAAAAGTCATTCTGAAAATAACATTAATAACAATAAAGTAATTGTTTCCTTAAAAAAAAAAACTTGCTCACAGATATGTCTTTATGGAAAACTCTCTCAATGAATCTGAAGAAAATTCTCAGAGTTGTCCTGCTAAGACCTGGTTTCATGTGACAGATGCGGCAGAAAGACCAAAATGAATTTTGAAAGGAACATAACCTTATAAAATGGCCTAGAGTTTAGGCAGGTTAGAAAGTAATTTTGCTACATTTATTTATGCTCGTTCAGTCCCCCAAACCTTTCCCACAATGTTATTGGATAAAAACTGCAGGAATATCACACAAATTATAAACTCAAGATGTGCAAATTGCAAGGTTCTTTAAAAGTTCATCTTAAAAAGAAAAACACTGGACAAAAGTGAGTATTCTTTTTTCCATCCCTTTTCTCTCAGTTTCTCTGCCAGCTCTGCATATGCTTTTAATTCTTTCTCGAACATCAAAGTGAAGAGTGCCTCCCGTCAGGCTGTTCTTGGTGGTCATTCATTGTCACATACTCATAATTCACATTCATCCCTTTAAACCACATTGAAACTTTCAATATCTTGCTCCGTGAGAAACTCTGCAGAGCTGAAATGTAGTTACAGTGTTGAAAAAAAAAAAAAAAAAAGAAAGCAACTTGTTTTTTTTTTCTTTTTTGTCTTTCTTCCCAAAGAGTTTAAAGTGAGATACAGTACTTGTTGAATGATAGACCAAGATGCTTGGTAATAAAGTGTGAACAGCATTTTTAAGTGCTTAGAGATAGTAATATAGATGCTCATCTTCAAAATCTAATTCCTCACATCACACTGGAATCTGAAAAAAGTGGCACCCGAGTTGTCCATAGTCATGAACTATAAACAGTACTAGAGTTAAAAGACAAAAGATTTGCAAACCCAACGAGAAGAGCTTCCGTGGCTCTCTCGAAGGGTAGTTTTCATCTATCTCTTGGGAGCAAAGTCAATGCAATTAACCTGATTGGTTTTCCTAACACTGCACAGAATCCACAGTGGGTGTTCACTCTCCCCCACCCCCGCCGCCCACCACGTGGAGCGATGCCAGCAGGGGCTGCCCTGCCCACCACGACGCCCTGCCCACATCACTGCACTAGTATAACAGAAACGAAATCCCACGGGTGGCAGCTGCTCCTTAAAAAAATATCAGTGCAGTCAGGCCCCATGGGGGAAATATATATCTCTATGATTAAAAGTTGCTTTTATTGTAAAATATGTTGGAGGAAAAAGAATGTTCTTTCACACGGTTAGCTTTCCACCTGCTGTCTGATCCCTCTCTACGCTGCCCTGAATGCAGCTGGGTTCCTGACATTGGTTTTGCACGGGAGAACCTCCCGAGGACATTCCTCTGGACCTCCGACCCCATGCTGAGAGCAAGAGAGAGGGAGACAGGACGAGGCGGAGAGAAAGAGACCCTCACTCGCCGTGGCACCCGCGCACCCCCAGACGCACACACGCACGCACTCCCCCGCAGCTCCCTTCCCGCAGAATGTCCTCCCCAAACCCGCAGAAGTCGGCGCCCAGTGGGTGCATCCGTGCGGCTGGAAAAGGCAGGCGCCGTGAAGCCACATTCGTTTCCACCAGGATGCCCGCCCCGAGCCTGGACTGGGGCCACCCCGGCCCCCCGCACGCGTGGAAAAAGCATATGCACCAGTCTCCTGCCCGACACCCGCTGTAACTCTAAGGACAAGGTTATAACAGAAACCTAAAGTAAGAGAATAACATGTAAATACTGTGTTATTTAGCCTACAGTACAGTAATCTGGATACAAACGGCAAAGGAGGGCCGGACTTCCTTTCCTCTCGCTGCCTCTACTTGCCTACGTTAGAGCGGCCTTCAATGCAAATCTTAACCTCCTGAGAAATGAGAGAAGGCTTAGGAAGAGTCAAAGGGGGCTCGTCTTCCGACTTCTCCAGTTTGCGCGTCTCCGGCGCCGACCACCTCCTCTTCCTCGTGGCCGTGGGCTTGCTGGGTTCTGTTTTGGTGAGCAAGGGCGCGGCCGGCAATCCTACTTTTTCTGGAAACTTCAGTTCGCCGTTCTCGGAGAGCATCTGGGCACTTCCCTGATTGATCCCGTTTTCCTGCTGGGCATACCTGTGTCTACCGCCCGCAAGGCCGTCGGTCTTTGAGTGCTTCAGCAGGACGCTGGCAGGATCCACGGGCTGGCCCTTTTTAACAGAGCCGTTCTTCAGGTTTTTGAGGGTGAGCGAGATGCAGACATCCCCAACGGAGAGTTTGGAACACGGCAGGTCAAAGAGCTGGCTGGTTCTCTCCGGGCAACAAGATGACCAGCCCTGTCCAAACACAAAAAAAGGGTACTCTACCAAAACTTCCACGCTGACCTGCGGAAACAGCGAGAGACAGGGACGGGGAAAAGGAAGGAAAGAAATGAAGACATTTTACTCTCTTTATTTTATACACACACGTACACATAGAAGCTGAATGGAAGAAAATAAGACTTAGTTCCACGAACCTCCTCCACCAACACACGCAAATGAGGCTCTGAATGTACCTGTACCTGCTGTACTGCACGTGCCGCTTACAGATGTGGGGCAGAAGCCAGGAAAAGTCCGTTCGGTATTCAAAATACAGTTTTACCAAGTATCAGCTCTCTAGCTGGTCTCCGTTAAAACAAGTCAATTGACCGCCAAGGATGACGGAACATCTGCTAAACGTTCAGCACCGGGCTGGGCACTGCATGCGACCCAAGCCCGAGGTGTGATCTTGTGCTTTATTAGCTCACTGGATAGATGCTATTCTCCTATATGACAAGGCTAAATATGGGTCAGAGTTAGGCTGTATTTAACCTCCACAAGGCAGGCACTTGCGGGCTTATCATTGTGTCCCTTGTCCCCAAAAGAGTACCTGGCACGTGGTTGAAACCGAACATTTATGGGACAAATGAATGTGGACTCTAGGAATTTAGGGGGAGCAGAATCAGTGAGGGCTGGAGAAAGCAGCGAGGGCTTTCCCAGGACCCCAAACGACGGGCAGGATTTGGAGGGGTTTGAGGGGAGGACAGCACTGGGAAGAGGGTTAAACAGATTCAGCTCAAGGGCTTGGCCCATCTACATGGTCAAGCCCCAGGGACTCATATCAGTCTCTTCATTTGTTTGAAAAACAAATATCAAAAATGAGGGACTCTCCCTTCAACAGCTGCCCTTTTCTCCATGCTACCCACATGCCATGCACTGTGATAAGGAAATAAATGGAAAACAGTCCTGGTCCCCAGGGAGTTCACTATCCAATGGGCAAAAGAGGCACACGGACAGTAACTGCCATCAGTGTGGTAAGCGTGGTCACAGAGTGAGGCTGTCACACCTTGCACAGTACTCAGTTGGAGAGCAGAGGAAAGGCATTGGAGAGGTGAGCAAGGAAGTCTTTCTGGATGAGGATACACCGTGCTGAGTTTGTAAAAATAATGGAACTAGAATCGAGGAATGGTCACAAGGGAAAGAATCTCAGGGAAGCAGCGATCTAGAACAAAGGCAAGAAGGTGGTATGTGTAGGGATTTGCACACTGGCCAGTGAAAATCTTACTACTGCCATTAAATCAGGCTGAAATGCACTTGAGCTGTTTCCCCCAAGGGTATCTGTATATTCCAAAGTGGGGCAGTTATGAAACCAAGGGGGCTTTGGGTAAGCCCGAGAGCACAGGGGGTGGGTTTCAGGGGGCGGGGAATGGAGTTCAGGGTACACCACAGGAGGGTGCTCTCTGGTGAACTTTTGGGCTGTGACCCCCAAAGCACTGAACTCTAGAAGTGAGATGAAGCAGAAACAGATGGGCCCTCTCAATGTCTGAAGCTCAGAGTTTCATCATCTCAGTCCCTAAAATTGGATTAAGGTCTTGAGTTATTTCCATAATTTTTCAAATAAAAGATAGTCAGTTGAAAAAGGGGGAGAAGGCCCATGAACAGACCTGAGGAGATGAATAAAAATCAGCAGGAACAACAGATAATATAAACAGACCCACAAAAGCTTCTGATACAGAGTCATCAGATATAAACTCTGAAATGACTAAGTTTACAATATTTAAGGAGATGAAAGACAAACTTGAGGACTTTGATAGAGAACTAGAATCTATTTTTAAAAGACCCAGGGAAATCCTAGAATTAAAAATAAAATACATCCACTAAGCTCAAGAACGCAATGGATTTTTCCAACAGAATAAATATGGTTGAAGAGAGTCGGTGAACTGGATTCTTTAATTAGATTTAGAAGAAACAAATGCAGAGACAGAAGGATAGCTAATATACAGAGGAGAGGGCAAGAGAAACGGAAGACTCATTGGGAAGATCTAATAGACACATGATCAGAACAAGGAGGAAAGAGAGATCATAGGACAGAAGTAATTCTTGAGAGGATAATGGCTAAGGATTTTCCAGTACTGATAGGAGACAATAAGCCACAGGTTCAAGAAGGCCTGACCCCTAAGCAGGAAAAATAAGAAAACTATGACCTGCTGAGGTGAGAATTAACTGCTGTAAATCAGAGACGGGGGAAAAACCTGTCTCCGAACAGAGTCTACATTACCTCCAAATAAGCAACGATTAAACTCATAGCTGACTTCAGAATTAAAAAAAAAAAGGAATCTAGAAGACAATGGAATATCTTTAAAGTGCTGAAGAAAAAGAATTGCCAACCAGGAACTCTCCATCGAGCAAAGAGACCCTTCAAGAATGAAGGCCAAGTAAAGACATTTTTCAGACAAGTAGTAATTGGAAGAATACACCATAAACAGATCTGCACTAAAGAAAGTCCTTAAGAGTGTTCTTTGGGTAGGGGGAAATGAACCTAGATGGAAGTTTGTAGATGCAGGGAGGAATGAAGAGCAAAGAAAATGATAGATATGTGAGTAAATTAAAATAATATGATTGTGCCTCAGTATCCACAGGAGGTCAGTTCCAGGACTACTTATGGATACCAAAATTCAAGGATGCTCAAGTCCATGATATAAAATGGCATAGTATTTGAATATAACCTATGCAAATCCTCCTGTGTACATTAAATCATCTCCACGTTACTTGTAATACAATGTAAATGCTACATAAATAGTTGCCTAGTGTGTGGGAAATGCAAATTTTGCTTTTTGGGACATTCTAGAATTTTTTCCCATAAATATTTTCAATCTGTGGTTGGCTGAATCCGCAGATACAGAACCCACAGATGTGGAGGGTTGACTGTACTGACTGAATACAATAATACTTAAAATGTTCAGTTGTATTTATACACAGGCACGCACACAGAAACACGTAAGTAATTAAAATATCCCGCTTTAAAAGTAGTAAATTTCCATGGATTATGGCTTTTCTATTTAACCCACTTTTACCTTTTTTTGGTGACTATGATTGATCTAGTTTTAGACACACTTCTTGAATGATATACTTTATATGCTCCTTGGAAGACATGAGTGTTCTTAGAAAGAACTAGAATGAACTTATATGGAAGCCTATTATTATAGTGTGTGTGTGTGTGTGTGTGTGTGTGTGTGTGTGTGTGTGTGTGTGTGTGTGAACACGAGCCCATGTAAATGTGCATATTATCTGAGGAAAATCTCATTGTTCTGGGCTATCTTAATAATGTAAAGAGAACTAAAATTTTTTGAGGCCTACTATCTGTCAAGCATTTAGGTACACTTTACAAAATACTTTGTTTAATGCTCATAATATGCTGTTCTTCCTGTTTTATAACTAAGGAACTAGAGTTTCACAGAGATTATGTGGCTTCTAGTGTCACAGCTATAAACTGATGGGCGTTGGGATTTAATCCCAGTCTCTTTGGCCCCCAAACCCATTTCTATTTCCTACGCTCCTGCTCTCTGCCCCATAATACCACCAAAAGACAGAATTTCACACTCCCACTGCCTCCAACAGTGGTGACTATTACTTGAAATAAATAGCATCCAATGACACGAGATCACGACTTTGTCTCATGACACAGAAAACTGTGCCACAGCATCAGCCTTACATCTACTACACAACACTAGTCTCTATAAGTGTGTGACGAGGCTAATGCTCAATTACAGAACACATTGACACCACACAGACATATATGTTTGCATAGACATGTGTGTAAATATACTTACACGTTACAGCATCAGCTGGGGATGCCCACTGAGTTCCAAGTGGAAGAACCAACCCGGAACTGGCTCCATAAATCCTGTCCCAAATCTCTTAGAGCCACTAACATCATACAGCTGAGCAGAAGGAACAAACCCTGCTTCCAGTGAGGGTCGTCTAGCTGCACTGCCTAGATGATCCCCTGCTCCTGGGCAGGGTCTCGCTGACGGGCGGCCCCCACCTTCTAAGGAACAGCCTCTTGCTGTGTGAGCCACATTCTACAGACTCCTCAGAGCAGCCAATATTTCATGTCATGAAAATAACATCTAGTGTATACAAATCTATCTGAAGACTTCCGCACGTTGCCAAGTGTCTGCAGACTCATTGAGAAGAAACGTCTTCAACAACCTTGTGACAAGTAATATTACTGATTATTCTGGAGGCTCTGACGCAGACGCATGTGCTCCCCATTACATACCCCACAATGTTTTGGGGGTGTTGTGAAAGCCCTTCACGACCCCGTCATCTCAGAACTCTGAAGGCAGGTCTTAGAATTAAAAGCTGTGAGGTGGCCAATAGCTTCAAACACTCTACCTAAAAATTGATGAAAGAAAAGTGACAAGGACAGAGGAGATTATTTAAGAGGTGTGCTAAAAAGAGCTGATGATAATGGAATTCATTTTAACCCGGACAGGTTTGGGGAAATCTGCTCCACCACTTTCAAGCTGGCCTTTGGTCCCTCCTTCCTAAATGCTGGCTTTGTCTTCCCCGCACAGAGCCTGGGAGAAGGCGCCACGCCCTCGCCTGGGTCCAAACAAAGTGGGAGCTAGAAAGTCAGCTAATCTGATCACTGTAAGCCGTGGACCGGACAGCTCGGGCCGAGTGTTCTTTTCCTCCTAATTATTTAGCCTCAATAATATTTATCCTCACAAATATTTTTTCTAATTACTTAGCCTGAATTATCTAGACAATGCACTTTTTTTAAAGTCTGCACATATGTTAACTAAGTTCTTCTTTCTTTGATAAAAGTTAAACTCTTGTTGCACGTATCTCAAATGTGCCCACTGAAGTAGTCATAAAAATTCTATTTTTATTTCATAATTAGGTTTGTCAGGACATAAACATTCTTAAAGGTTAACTGATCATTAACAGTTAATGAAGAAACCACACTCGGGGATTTTTCAGTGAGGATATACGTGGTTGGGTCTGTCTGCTCGAAACTCCCTCGGAGAGGCACACTGCCGGCCTGAAAACGTGCTGCTGATGCCAACGCGTACTGTTCT